ATATATATATATATATATATATATATATATACACATATATATATATACACATACATACATACATACATACATACACACACACACACACACACACACAGATTTGTAAACCACTCTAGATATTTAGGGGATCTTATTTCCATGTCTAACCTAACCAAGAGAAAGCATGAGTGGTGATGTGTGCAAATTATTTCAAATTCCAATACAAGAGTTATGCTCGCAGCGGGCTAGGGAAAACATTTCCGAGCGCAATCACAAGGGAGAAGTGAAGGATAATAAACAGTGATTTTTCCATTTTTAACACCGCTACAGATGGAAAGCGAAAACAACTTGCTGAAGGTTTCTGTATAATTAATCTTCAAAATATTTGCCATCTGTTCCAGACTGTAGCACGTATAGGATAAGCTGACTCATTTGGAGTTCAACATAGCCTACTACTCCTAAGAAATACTGTAATTTTTAAATATATCTTGGTCAAAAAATCTATTCATGATGAAAACACAACAAAAGCAAAAACGCATCGTACTGCAACGTAGACTTACATTTCCTCTGTTTTGCTGAAGGAAACGATTTAACAAATGAATGTATTTATTAATTTGAAGATTTAAAATCTCACACCACCACCTCAACCAATACAATGTGAGCAAAGACATCACAAGAAAATAAGCAAAAACAAAGAATCCGTTATCAGTACTTATTAATACGGGGTCATTTTGATTTACATGAAAAGTACATCCAAATAGAATGTTGCTGGATTATTGCCGATCGATACGCCGACACCCCCCAGCTCAGCAAAAAAAAAAAATCGTCGTTAGCACCGCCCCCGCGGTCAGGTCTGGCACTGAATGTCGGTATCGGTGATACCTAAATCGGATAGAATCGAAATTGGGTCGAAAAAGCAATCGTCTGTGGTATGGCTCGCCCTGCTGTAAATCCCACAGGCCTAGCGCCAAGACTGCCGAATCTCACGCAAGAAATCTTACGGCAAATCTGTATTATGCCATTATAAACCTAAAATTAGCTACATCGACAACAATGGGTTAGTTTACAAACCATACAGACTATTTACAAGGTAATAAAGCTGATACATACATATAAAAGCGTGTGCAGACTTGTCTCGATTTAAAAATATCACGCCAGCTAGCTGACCAAAGTTAGCAAGCCTGTAGTGTTGGCAAAAATAGGCCAACCGTCAAAATTATTATGCTTAAGACTTTTTTTTTGGAAATTGATTAATTAAAATGAATATTGCATACCCGGCGTGTCTATATTACGTTATTTAGGTGAAACCGACGCTGCGGGGCTTTATATTTGGTTTCAAATCAGTAATGACATAGGGCCGCACCATGTAGGCCTTTCTGTTTTCTCCATGAATGGACACTGGGATGGTAGTTTCTCGAATATTTTTAATAGTATTTTAGAGGTTGACAGTACTTGCGTATACTGTGTATTAAAATCTTGTGTTTAAAACATGTTTTTTTGGATTTCACAGCTAAGACCGAACCAAGCCACCCAGAACAGCACACGGAAAACGGGTAAAAACGGAACCTGGGGCTGTTGTCCGGACGGGAAGCTCCAGGACGAGGTGCACAAAAATCAGAATAAAAAACACAGAGTATTGGGAATCTACGAAATGGGGCGAAAACACAAACAGGTCAACGACGGCTGATCTACCACAGGACGCCGGCTGCCCGGTGTATCAGCTGCGGGACTCCGCATCAATGAAGACCCCAGAAACAGGACAGAACGGCAAAGCTGGTGATAATACCGGCAATCCCCAACACCCTAAAATAAGGCACCAACAAAGTAAACCCAGCCCCACATACCCAGAAAACAGACTCCAGAGCAAAGGTGGCTCTGAGGTTTACGCGATTACGGACCCCGGAGCGCCGCTCGCGGGGTCGCAGGCACGGCGGAAAGCGCGAGTGTGACAGAACAACAATGCGTGGCCTGTATTTCTCACGCGTATAATTATTTCGCTTTTTTAATTACGAGTACTAAAACATAAAGAAATGTTTTCAACAAAACACGTATAAAGGTTTAAAAGACCATTTTAAGTACAAAATAAACTTAGCTCAGATGAAAGTAAAACATAGTGTCTACCTAATAAAAATCAGAGAACAAATTGAATTTTTTAATCAGACATATTGAAAAGCTCAAAATTCACGATACTGACAATTTTTACATATCAAATGACTGCGAAAACTTACTAAATTAAAATGCCTATTTGTCCATTTTTCTAGTTTTGCTAAACGCCAGACTTCAAGTCACACTATACCGTTTAGTACAAATGAATTAACTGAGTATTCCACGTAGTTGCCATGTCCAGACAAAGAGGATATGAGATTTTGCAAAGGCTGTCAAGCCAGTCATATCGATTATAAGTTACACATTAAACATCTATACCCGCTGCTAGACGCAATAGAATTTTCCCTTGGTGTGAACTACGTTTTTTACTGTTTTTTTTTTTTTTTTTTAATCTTAGCCAGTGGAGACACATTGGGGAGATATAATGATGGATTCATATTTGTACATATAACAAATCTATCATTGTATGAAATATCATGTCATGGTACATAATACTTTCAAATACTGTATGTAACAGTGAATGAAATATTCGAATACTAGGGTGTGTATTATTTACTACACTATAATGTATTAGAAACAACACCTTCCTGCCTTCTTGTGAACATAATACGCATTAACTTTAAATTCAAAACTATCGGTATTTTATGTTTAATTTTCAAACAATGTATAACCATATTATTAGCTCAATGAAAACAGTTCCCAAAAAAATCTAATTTTAACCCTTACTCAGCAGTTTTATGAAAATCAGTTGATTGTAAGTTTATACATGTGCGTTGTTTCCTGATGTATGGAAATTGACATTTTGTCATCACCATTCCAATACTGTACATATAAGAGGTCTGTGCTCTTTTAAACAGACTGCTATTGGGTTACTCTCTCTGAATGAACCAAGCAGGGATTCACGCTGGGATTTTAATGAATCTTGTCAAGTGAACCCCGAGTGATGGTATGGATTTGGTATATGAAGGAAGAGTGTGGGATTGAACACCCCCTGCGGACCGAGACGAGACAGAACAGCGTGCCGTCACTGTGTGCCCCCCAAAAGCATGCTTTGCTTAATGATCCACTGTCACTGGGTTTGGATTCCTGGGGAGACATTTGATTAATTTACATTAAGGCTTCAGCTTCTTAACACAGCGAGTACAGTTATAACTAGTTAAGCCAACTACAGCTAAATGTTTTCTGGAACTTGCCTTGTGGATATGAAAATGACAGCAGTACTCCTCGGACTAAAGAGCCACTGTCATCCTTCCGGGAGTATACTCGTTTAATGTGTATTTGATTCATACGACATACTGAGCCGCTCCAGCCTTCTGTGCACTAATTCTGTCTGAGCGGCTGGACTTAGCAGCGACATTGTAGGCACACATCTCCTAGGCGACCGGAATTGGCAGGGCTTGTGCCTCCCAGATGGGTCCGGAGAGGCCTCTGAGTGCGGCTTCACCATAATCGCAGGTGGGAGCTCTGACCCCAAGCGGGAGTTCCATCAGCCCCTTCCGGCTGTCTGTAAGGCCCACTCCCTGTCTGCCCGGCCGCCGGAATCCCCGCGTGACCGTCACTCAGCAGGCACACGCAGGTGCTGCAGCAGATCGGCGCTCACAGGCGCTGTGCCTTTTGTCCTCGAGATGACCAAAGCCTGCTCAGCAGTGCCGGCAGATGACACAGAAAATCACCATGCATGTAACACATTTAAAAGCAGGACTTGCTCAGGCCAGTTGCCCTGTGCTGGGGGGGGGGGGGCACCCCCCTCTGCTGGAATTTCTTATCTTATGTAATGAATTGGTATAAATGAACTCCCGTTAAAAACATGAGAAAGTTACAAACGCACACCTGTGTGGTTGGATTCTCTGTGACATGAGGGGACATTCCCTTACCAGTAGGCTTTTATTACACTGGTCAACTAATTTCCACTTCATTTTTTTCACAGGAATCAAAATAGGCAACTTGCAGTAATTTTCAAGCTGAATACAAATATCTAATATTTCTTTCCCTGACGTACAAGACTTTTGAGTGACAGACAAACCTTACGCTACATGTATATTTACAGTATATGTGCATGATGGTAGAAGTATGAGTTTCTGCTGTTCTTGGCCTCAGAAACATCCCTCTTAAGGGTCCAGCAGAAGTCAGCAGACATACTGGGACTCCACTTGCTTTGATATAATTTTTCTATATCAGAGAGAGAGAGCAGGACCTTGTCTCCCTGTTACAGCCTATAAAATCTGGCTAAATTACAGTACTTTGCACCCTCCTGTAAAATGCTAAACTGTTCACAAATAGACATAAAATCATTGTTCCTAAATTAAACTTTAATACACCCACACATTCTTAATTAGGAATTATATGCTGTCAATATAGACTAAAGCTGACATCATGGGTGACAGCATTTCTGAAATCAGCATAGAAATGTGCACAAAACACAGCCGAAAGCTGTACTGTGACAGAATCTTTGTTGTCCAGTGTTGTCCCTCTCTTAGTCAGCTGCATCCTGTCGCTCTGTGTAAGCTTCAATTTTCCTTTATAACATCCATAAATATCTATTGCTACACACCAAGTGTTCTGCTTAAAGTCTGAGGTTTTCTGCATTTCCTGTCTGACCTTGATAATGGAGCCCATCTGTTTGTTGGCACCCAGCTTCAACTGAATGTCCAAGACAGAAGGAGGTAATTAGGCCAATTATCAACTGGAGCTTCATGGGAACATCATTTGGCCCCTAATATTGATTTCCCTACTGTCTGCTTAGTGTTCAGGTAGCATGTTCCATCTCCACAGCACTCAGCAACTGTGACAGGCCACACACTAGTAGAGCCAGAGTACGGCATGTGAGATATCCAATCTAATCTTAACTAGATGGTAGTTACATGGTAGAATTTAATAACAATCTCAACAGTGCAAACATGGAGATCTGTCAGATTATACAGTGTGTCTGTAAGTATGTATGTGTCTGAGAAAGAATGGAGAAGGAGGCTGATTGAGAGAGCGAGTGAGAGAGCAAGAGAGAGAGGTGGAAGAAGCGAGAGAGATGTGGCAAGTTTATCCCCAGCAACTAATCTCCCACAATCTAATCGGTCGTATTTGAGATGGACTTACAAGTCGGAGGCTTCAAGGGCATTTGCCTGTAGGTAAGTGATCGGAAAGTCGCTTAAAAGTTTACTTTCCCCAAAATAAGTTGTCTGCGGTTTTCTAATGTTTTTGGGAATAGAATATGTACAGTATTTATTTCTTCCAAATAGTGATAAATAATAAAATAAGTAACCCTCTTTTGCACTACACTATGCAAATTTTATTATGCCTACAAAACTGCAGAATAATTTATTATGTAATTTCAAGGTTAACTCCCAGCACAGGAAATGACACACAAAAAAAGTTTTTAGTGCATAAACATTGGAATTTGCCTAACAGACCTGCACAGTATACGACAAGGATGAGTTAAATATTGAAAATTTCTTCAATGACATAATTGAGCAGATTTGTATTAAGTAACCAGCCAATTTGATGGCTGTAAACATTAAATCAGTGCATAAAGGTTCCTTTGTGGTCGCATCGCTCTTTCCAGACAGACCAGTGATCATTAGAGAAGCAGAAAATCATAATGACTGAACGTTACTGCATTCCTCTTTTTATCGTAGCCCATTCAGTCGTTCAGTTTAGCTCAAAGACATGCATAAGATAATTAGGGATTGTACTCTAATCATTAATGAGATGTGTCGTCCTTAATAAATGAACCTCCAGACCACATGATTGGCATTTTCATAGCATAGCTGAAATACAAAAACATGCAATAAATAGTTATTCTAAATATTCATTGTTTTTAGAGTGATTTCTCTGATTCATTTAATCTAATGTAAAAATACCAATACAATATACAATTATAGATAGTAATATATTCCGGTAGCAGCTTCGTATGAATTCAAAATGTGGTGTAACTAAATATATGCTACTGTTCATTTTATTTGAATTTTCTTTTCTGTTAACTGGAGCTTTGGCTGATACAAAGTAACACTGGAGGACTGAGATATTCTAAAATGACACTCTTGACAATTTATAGCCTAGCATAAGCATGATAAAAAATAAAGTGAACCACCTTTAACATATATTTTTTGTTAATTTGATTCCTAAAGTGGTTTTTCTGGCTGAATATATTTTGATATGTTTACTGCAAATAGTTAGCATTCAGGAGCTGACTGTGGCAGTGAGTGTCCATAACATATAACGTGTATATTATCTCAGTTATTTCAGTTTAAGACACAGAAACCTGAGCTTGAAGTGTGAAGACTGATGCATTGATCTTTAAAATATGCCAGAGAGTTTTGTCAGAGTTTTGCTATACATGTCAGCTTTGTAGAGGATGATATTACTTGGGGTTTGTATACCAGAAATGCTCCTTTGCCAAGTCAGTACTCTAACTAATTAATCCCAGAATCCAATCAATTTTTCTAGCTTGGAAGGAGGAAGTACTGTCACTCTCATCTGCTCCCTCATTGGCTGTTGCCATGACAGCTCAGCCTTCAGGCAAATATATCATCATTATACCTGAAAGGAGGGTTTAAAACTTCATATATAAAAATATATATTCAAATTTTATATAAACTTCATCACATGTTTCTGATAGGTCAATGACAAGTTATATAACTTCATTGTTGATGATATAACCTAAAAACTGTCAGACATCTAGGCCATCTGATGTCAGAAGAATGTTTGCACACTTTCTAACAGTGTTCTACTGATGTGAGTCATTGTTGATTTTGTTGTCTCACAATGCTGAAATTGGATATAGATTCTTCTACATCTAAAACTATGGATATCTAAATAATAAAATCAATATGAACACAACAGAAGCCAAATCTTCTGCAGAGTTCAAGTGTTGCCCTTACAGAAACCAGGGCATGGTGTAGGAGAACAGTGACAGGTGTCCCACGCCAAGGACACACGCATTCACCAATCAGAATGACCCTCCACCCCGGAAAATCTTTACTGACTTACACGGGGCTGAAGGAACATTCATTCGAGGCTAACATCATATCGCGGTTTAATCTCATTATGAGACGTAATGGTTTACAGGTACATCAGTGGTTTCCTGGCAGAACTCCTAATTCATGAGGTTTAATAATCAAAACATGGTTCTCTCTATTCATGAAATATTCCTGAATCTATGACAGGAGACTATTCTTTAAAAAATAAACCTGTTCCAGAAACAAACATGTTTCTTTTTCTAACCACTCAGTCACCAGTCTGCATCGCTGAGATTACTAAAATAAAAGTTCTGCTATTGATACTATTTCCTTAATTTCAGAGGGGTCCCCGCTTCACTTGTTGACAGACAGAGTCACCTGCAGTCGCTGCCAAAGTAAACTCCACAGTGCCTGTTTCCCTTCGTGAGACATCTCAAACACAACCAGGAAGAAAGATGTCTGGGGAATGCTGATTATCTGTTATCTGCTCCATTCTGACACTGGAATAAACCAGACGTACCGGCAGATTCTTCACAAACAGGAACATTGACGATCTGCTTCTAGCATCTGGGACACTCAGAAATATCCGCATCAAAAGATTTTTTTATGCTTAGCCCAGACTTCATTATTACATTCTCCATTCTGTATGGAGATACAATGGGTCCTCTTTTCTGAAAGACGAATGGGTATCTTAAAAGCCACAATGCGACCTGCTTCTCCTTTTTTTGTGGGACTGTTAGCCAGACAATTTTTCCTCTCTGTTCAAAAACACCTACTTTCCCTCATTTTATCTGTTCTTATATCATTTGGAGCAAACAGCAGTTTACCTGGGGCAGAGTATGAGTATAGTTCCCACCCAAAATTTGTCTGCACCCCAATCCCTGTTGATGCTGACCCTGGCCACCTCCCTACTGGTGGAGTACTGGGGGAAGCCGCAGCAAGGCTCAATGAGAATGGACACCATGGGCCCTTAGGGGTGGGGGCCAACGGCAACGGATGGTGGGGCATGACCGAGGAGGCAAAGACAACCATTTTACATCTGCGTGAGAGCCTGGTTCGGCAGAAGGAGACAATCCTGGACCAGCGGGAGTCCATCCGGGAACTTACAGCCAAACTAACCCTCTGTGAGGGATTTGTGAGGGGGGGAGGAAGCCACCATGACTCCCAGAGCCCCCACGCACCCCTCCACCTTCACCCACACCACCCCTACGAGAGCAGCCACCACGGCAGTCACACCTCTGAGCCACACTACTCCGTCGCTGGCTACCACAGGGGCAAGGCGGCCTCGGGGGGAGCTGAGAAGCATGGGGGAGAGCTGGCCTCCTCACCCGAGCAGACAGGGAGGATGCTGCAAGCGCTGAAGGACAGGCTGGAGAGCCTGCAGGTATGAGAGGTGGTCTAGGACAAGCGAAAGACAGCAAGCAATGCAGAGGGAGAGAGTGAGTGCTAATTATGCTGGCCCCTGTGAAGAGCTCAGGATGTACTTTGGGTGAAGACCGGGCAGTTTCTAGCTATCAAAAAGATCAGGGGCTAAGTCAAGTTCACCTGGGGCTTGACTTTTTCTATTTGAAGGAAGGTTAGCATCAGGACTAAAATACTCGGGGCTATAGCCATGGGTGAAGATGGCACCTCAAACACGGATCCTTCTGAGCTTTGAGAAACTCAAGTACTCCTAAAGGATAATAACTTCAAACCACACAGAAACATAAAGAAGTACTGTTTTCAGGCCTGGTGCAGTACGCCTGTCATTTAGTGCAGGCTGGGGGGGGGTAGTGTTTGTAATTAGATTATCAGATGCCTATTTAAGTGCCATGGTGACGGCAGAATGCGCCACCAAACGGATCAGACACATTTTCATTTATCTGGAGTCACTAATTCCATCAGAACCCGAATGGGCACAGGAAAGATGAGCAGCCCTCTCAGCTTCCTCAGCCTATAGGCCTCTGATGGGATTTTTGAGCAGCTGGCAGGTGTCAGAGCACTGGGGGGTGCTAATCGATGTCAGCGTTAATTAGCAAGATCTCCGCTGATGAGCTGCTAATGGAGGAGCGCTCTAAGGGCAACCGAAGCCGGATTTACTGAAAGCTAGAGAGGAAGCTGGGAGATGTGGGGCCGTAGATCTTGCAACAGCCGTTACTCTCCAACTAGCTCCATGACGACACAGTTGTGTTGCATCACAGCGAGCTGATACATGCACCCTGCTGTTATTCACCTGACCTCTGTCCCTGCAACTGAAAGTTTCATCAGTTCCATGAGTTTGAAGGGTCACATACAAAGACCGTAATAAGATTCATATCTCTGCTGATGTACATTATGTTTCTATGAACTAGAACCATAGGTAGAAAATAGATCAACCATAACAAAGATCTTCAAACCTGAATACATCATGTACCAATATCAAGACTTACGAACCCGCTTCATTCACTAAATACATTTTAAGGGGGTTAGTGACGTAGTTAGCTGCTAACACCTGGATTACCTGAGGACATGGAAAGTTCTCAGGCAAATTGTATCCCCTCCATTAAACTCATTTCCCTCTGCCAGCAGGCCAGGAACACATCCAGCTCATACTCTAATTCCCTGAAAGACCTCCTGCAGCGCAAGATACACATTCTGGAGCAACAGATGCACCACCATTCAGTTCCCCATGGCAATGAGAACCACCACAAGGATGGAGACAATGGTCACCATGACAACAGCCACCATGAGGATCACCGTGACGACGGGCGCCATGATGATCACCACGTCACTGACCATCATGATGACCGCAATGACCATGAGGCAGATGGCCATAGACAAGGCCATCGCCCTCGGATGGCCTACCACTCAGAGGGGCACAGAGCTGCAGGCCACGGGCTGCATCCCAACAAGCTTGATACTGTGCTGAGTCACCTGCACCAGAGAAATTCAGATACAGGTATCTCACAGGCTTCAGAAAACAGCACGAACAGTTTTACATTTTCATAAACTCTAATAAGACATCCTACCATCAGGCTGACTTCCTGGGTAATACTAATAATACCTTATTTATGTCCAGCTTCCCGAAAGAAGACAAAAAATCCAGACGGCTTTGAAATAGGCTTCCCCATGCGCACCAACTACATGTACGGGCGAATCAAGCGCACCCTCCTCCATGAAATCTTTGCCCTGACTCTCTGCTTGTGGCTGAAGGGTGGTGCAGGACCAGGCCTGGGCACCCCTTTTTCCTACTCTGTGCCGGGGCAGGCCAACGAATTGGTCCTGATAGAATGGGGCAACAACCCTATGGAGCTTCTGGTTAATGACAAGGTAAGGAAACGTGTCAATTCCCAGAATGGCTCAGTAAGCTTTGTTTAAGGTCTGAAATGGATCCTGGCACTTCAGGAAGCCAAATTCAATAAAAAAAAAAATACAAAAAAAACATTTACGTGGGAGGCCCTGTCACTTTGACCCTCCTTTCTTCCTGATATAAAACAGAAATCTAACTGTAAAACCACATCACTATATGGAATTCCTCAGTGGGCCCCACATTGATATAGACATTGTTAACCAGTCAGTGAGAAGAACATCTCTGAACTGATAGCTGTGTTTGGGACACCCATTAGCATCGATCTCACCTCATGTTGCGCTCATGAAACTGCATGGCACACAATCCTCTAAGGCAGGGTTCTTCAACTCTGGACCTCGATTCCAAATCCAGGCCGTGTTTTCAGTTCTCCCAGGTAGTTAAGTTTAATAATTACTGATTCTGATTGGTCAGAGGCTTCACACCTGACTGACAGGTAAAGGAAGGCTGGAAAACCAGCAGTGCTCGGACCTCGAGGACCGTGAGTTGAATAACCCTGCTGTAAGGGTATAAGGAGACAGAAGGCCTCTTACGGGCCTAAGGTCATGTGGGGAGGGTAGATGTGCACATTCCATTTCCAGCTGGAGGCTCCCTTCTCTCTTAAACCACACACCACATAATTCCATGTAGTACCTGTGAGAGGTCCAGTCTGGAATGACATGTGACATCGCTGCCCCAGGCCGTGACGCTGCCGCTCTCTCTGAGCGATGGGAAGTGGCACCATGTCTGCGTTTCCTGGTCCACACGGGACGGCGTGTGGGAGGCTTATCAGGACGGAGTGAAGAGAGGCTCGGGAGAAAACCTGTCAGCCTGGCACCCCATCAAGCCCGGAGGGGTCTTCATCCTGGGACAGGAGCAGGTGACCTTGGGGAATGTCCCTTTAGCTAACAACCTGCCATATGCTTGCCACAGCAGTCAGTCTGTCCCCTCACTGCAATAAATCTTAGAACTGGTTTCAAAGACATTTTATGCAAAACACCAATCTGTTGAAATGTGACCCCATTTTTTTTTTTTTTAAATAATAAACACAAGTACAGTTACGGTAAGCAATCTGTCCATAATTTTCTTTCTTTGGGTTAGATAACACAGCACATTTCACTCGTTTACATTGGTTTATCATATCCTATATAATCTTAGTTTATTCTGCCTTAATGTCGTTGAGAGTGTGTCTTTGCACAGTCACTGCTAGAAGCTCAGTTTCTCCCCTGTCAGGTCGATTGTAGAACACAGATATGCTGCAGGGCAATGCCAGTACTCTGTCTGTCTGTCTTCCTGCAGGACACCCTTGGGGGACGATTCGATGCCACCCAGGCGTTTGTGGGCGAGATCTCTGACCTCCAGCTCTGGTCCCGCATGCTCAAATCCCACGAGATATACGACAGAGCTGCCTGCGGAAGTCGCCTGACAGGTGATATCATCACCTGGGCGGAGTCAGTGGTTGAGCTGCATGGAGGAGTCACCAAGTACCCCTTTGACCCCTGCCACTAGGGGCGCCCTCTTCCACATCCAGAGAGGGTTATACTAGAAAGAATTTATATGCAGTCTGAAGAGTCACCAGCCGCATGGTGCAGACATCTTAGTTTCATTAACCCAGACATTCAAAGCAACAAGGCAACTGCCAAGACATCCCCTCAATGCAAGCAGAAGACCTGAATACCTCTATCTTATGAATATTGACTTAAACAGATTGACACAGGATGGTTATCCTTTCTGCATTGAGCTAATATAGTTCCACATAGCATAAAATCTCCAGATGATTTGAAACACATATAAGGATAAAAAGATGATTTTAAACAGTTCTTAAATATAGTGAAAGGACAGGAGAGAATGAGACAGATTTGTAGAATGATAAAGTAATATTAGAAAACGATGCATGACAGTAGGATTGTTAGAACAGTGTTGTGCTTGCTTTTGAACATAGCTGTAGGGAGCCAAGTTATTGGTGGTTCATTGGATGACTTTAAGAACCATATACAGTAAAAAGATAACCGTTATGTTCTTCCAGTGACGCTTAATTTGAAAAGATACAGCTATACCAAAGATAGGAGGAATGCTGCTTAGATAAAACATGCTGTTGAGGCATCTTGTTAGTGAGAAATATGTTCTTTTTCTTGTATTTTTACTTTAGTCGGGATTTGTTGCTTCTTTTTTCAGACAGATAGTGTGGAGCTATAGATGGGCTTTTCTGCTGCATGCAGGAAATCCCCCCCACCCCCACATCTCGCTGGTGGTGGTACAGTCTCGGGGGAGTATAGAGGCCTTTATGTGAGATGCATCATTAACAATTCATTATGTAAATACTCAGTTTTTGATTTGCAAAAAATACAGACCTCACATACACACTACCTTAATAGATCAGCAACTCCAAAATAGCTTAAGCATTGTGGGTAGTTTTGTGGATTATTCCATTTTCTGATTTTTAAAAATGGAAAATAAATGCATTTTAGGGATATTAGTATGTTTATGTCTGAACATACCTGACACTTTTACGTTTTCCAATTGCATTGTTTAACAAATACAGTGAGCTCTAGAACTGTTGGTACCATTGACAGCAAATGCACTAAAAATACAATTCCATACAATTGCTAAAAAGATGCTAAAAATTATGTAGTAGTTTATTAATGTTACAATGGGACCAAGTAAGATCAAACATTTATTTAATAAATAAATTCACTAAAAATAAGGTTGCATAATTATTGGTGCCCCTAGCTTTGGACGTGGGGCAACCACTGTTGGTGAGAATAACATTATGGAATCTTATCCTGCCCCCATTTGAAGGGATCTTGGATCATCCCTCTGTGTAGATCCATCTTCGGTCTGCACCAATCAGCTGCCTTCTTCAGTTCAGCCCGCAGGTTTACCATCAGATTGCGGTCTGGTGACTGAGATGGCCATTGTAGAACCTTGATTCTGTCCTAGATCCATTTCTGTGTGGATTCAGAGGTGTGCTTTGGGTCACTATCTTATTGGAAAGTAACCCGTTTGTCTTAAGCAGTACTCCCAGACCTCCAGGATTAAAACAGCCTCAAAGCATCACTGATCCACCACCATACTTCACCATGGCCATGAGGTGCACTCCTTGCATGTATTTCAACGCCAAAACATGCAAATGCTGTATCTCACCAAAACCTTCAGATATTGGTCTCATATGTCCACAGCACCTTCATATAATCATAACTGAAATGCCCTTTGGCAATTTCCAGTGCTTGCCTGTGCGTTTTTCCATCAGTAAAGGCTTTTGGCATTTGATGGGGGTTTTCTCCAGGTACTCCGGATCCCCCCCCCGTCCAAAAACATGTTGAGGTTAATTGGAGTTACCCAGTTGTGAATGGTGTGTGAGTGTACCCTGTGATGGGTTGGCGCCCCATCCTGGGTTGTTCCCTACCTTGTGCCAGTAGCTCTGTGATAGGCTCAGGAGCCCCCTGTGACCCTGAACAGAATAAGCAGTTTCATAAAATGGATGGATGACCTGATGATGCTCAGTAGTATGTTTCATCTTCTGTGGATCTTCTTGTAGCCATTACCGGATTCACGAGGGACATCTGTCTCCACTGAGCAGCCGGTTCTTTTGTTTTCTCCATGGTGCTGAATTAGGATGCCTGAAAGGCTCCTGTGCTTGACTAACTAGTTAAATTCTTCTTGTGCTTTGACTGGTTTGTTTCCTTGGTTGAAACACTCATCCAGCTGTTTCACATTAACATTAGTGACACATGCATGATTACAGGAGGCTGACCAATCAGCGCACAGCAAGAACTCAGCACTTAAGTGAAATCCAGGTCTTTTTAATTGAAAAGGCTGTTTACAAATCCTGTCCAGGCTCACAGTGTCCCCCCTGACATGCATTTGGTGGTCATCATATGCTGGATGATAAAGGAATTTTTATACCGCAGTGAAACAATGAGTGATGTAATGACACAATAGAGTTCCTTAAAACTTAGATTAACGTAAATAAGGTGAGTTTCATTCCTGGTTTAAGTTTGGTAGATTTTATTTATAGTAATCCTTAGGGGTGCCATTAGCTGTGAAACCTTTATTTGGAGGAAATTAATTTTCATTTAAATTAATTTTGGTTGGTTCCAATGAAACGTTAATAAATCATGATATTTTTCACATCTTGGAATTTTGCTTTTAAAAAACAGTATGATTTTTTTTAATTTAGGAGTGTTCTGGCCTTTATTATGCAATTCTCTTGTAAATATGAATGCTCATGATGTGTTATTTGTGTAGTAGTATCTGTAAATATTACTGTTTTGTTACCTTCTGAATGAGTATAAATCAACAGCACATACTGTATCAGGATATCTAATGAAATCTATGTATATACAAATGTATATAGAAATTTCTAAATAAAGATCTGAAGAAGTCTGGCCTTCCGTCCAGAGCGCCACATGCTCCCTGGATGAGGATCCAAGCTCCTCATCACCCTTTACCAGATAGCTGCTTGGAAAAGGGATGAATGGATGGATTTGAAGAACGACAAAACCATCCAGACTGCCCATTTCCCCCTCAGCACCAGCTTAGTACCTTAAAGGTGCAATGTCTAAATAACACTAAACTGATTTTGTTACACACTGTAACACCATGCATTGTAACATCACACAGAACTACACGCTGGAGCAGATTTGCATGTTTAGCTGCTTCTGGCCAACATCTGGAAAGCGATTTAAATATTGTGTTAATTTAATACACTTGAAAAATGCTCTAAGACTTTCCCTGGGATTGCAGAATGCCCCAAAACTAGTGCCTTCAAAAACTTCGACCAGTCTTACCAGGAGAACAGAGGTGTTATCATTACAAGCTAGTTAGCTTTGACCTCCAGTTCAAAATCATCTACAACTGTGACTTTTACCAATACTGGAGATCACAGCTCCTGAAATGAGCTGGTGTTCACTGGCATGCAGTACCATTTTCTCATCAGAGTATTGGCACCTCTCAGTATCTGCTGGCACTGAATGACCCACACCTGTTTCTTCCCACTTCAAGCACTGAGTACAATTCAACAAAACATGCTAGTAAGAGAATAACAGAGATGCTGCAAAACAATGCTATGATAGAATTCTTGCACTCAATACATGTACAGAGTACGAAAACACTGCCATAATCCACACCAATAACACAAGCCATACACAGCAGTTTGGCCAGTCCAACAAGTCCTTATTTTTCCAGATAAGGCTGAGAAAAAAAGCTGTGAGAAAACGAGTAGCTGATTAGCATTAGAGTGCAGTGCTCAGAGCTCACAATAAAGAGCTATTCTCCATTCTTAGCAGATGTTCAAACAGAGGTGTTGACCCTCCTGTATGAGCCAAACAAAGTTATTTGACTTCCTGTACGATCCTACAGAATGAACGTTACCTCTTCCTGGGAACGAGCCAGCTTCATTACATCAGAGAAAATTTCACTCAGGAAGCTCTCCAACAGCCAGGGGTGCTATAGAGGAAATACTCCAGGAGGAAATGTGTGCAGAAGCGATGTGAGGAGAGAAGGATGAGTTACCTAACACAACGAGGGAAATACTATGTGTCTGTTTTCCTGTATGATATGTAGGGGGGGGGTCTATATTCTTATCAGTAGTGTCAAAGGGGCATGGATACCCTGGCAGATTCAAGGGACTCAGCACTTTACAGAGGCCCTTGAATACGTAAAATTATTAAATTAAATAATGTAAGGGGGCCGGGGGGGGGCCCTAGGGGACATTTTATCAGGGGCCCAGAATGTCTAGGTAGTCCCCTGATTCTTATGCATAGTAATAAAGACAGTGTTGTCATCTCAATTTAGGAGCAGTAAAATGTTAAAATCAGTATTTAAGCTGCAAACAACAGTACATAAAAGATTACAATTCACAATTTTGGAAACGGGTCATTTTGTGCCAGGTGATTGACTGCTTCTGGATAAGTAAGTATCCACTGGGACACGTAAGATGGGGTCGACATTACAGATTTTTGAAACGCTCATCAGCAGGAGGATATGACAATGCCAGAGAAAAGAAAATGAGGAAAAAGGTCTCCATTGCATTTATAAATCTTCTGAATCGCTCAGCTGAGAGCCCATTCATCTGTTTATTTTCTGAAACCTTAGTTCTATTCAGGGTCTTGAGGGGACCAGAGCCTATGGGTCATTAGGCAAGGAACAACCCAAGATGGGGCACCAACCCATTACAGGAGACACTCACACACACCTACAGGCAAACTGGGTAACTCCAATAAACCTCAGTATGGTTTTGGACTATAGAAGGAAATTAGAGTACCCAGAGGAAACCCCACAATGGAACAGGGAGAACATGTAACCTCCACACATATGAACCATAGCAGAGATTTGAAGTCTGGTCCCAAAGGGGCGAGGCAACAGTGCTAACCACTGCACCAGCTGAGAACCTTTTTCAAATTTCAGGTCACACAGGGAGCAGCCAGACTGTAAAGTGGATATATCCTCTCCCATGTAGCATCCTGCTGGCGTCGACAAGCTGCCTTTTCCAGAGGGGTGCTGGAATGCACTCCAGTTAAACGCTTTTGTAATAAGCCTAAGATATCACAGATGAAGACCAAATCTGGACGTGTCAAATTCTCAAAATAGCTTTTCACGCAAGCCTCAATGTGCAGAGAGCCTGACCTCTATTCTTCACAAAATAAATGCAAACAGCCCACATCGTTGCTATTTTTAAAGATCAAAACTGTAAAAATAAAATATTCTCACTAAGGACTTCCATGTAATTAATGGAAAGATATCTACGGAGGACAGGGGGTGTAATGAGATGGTATCAAAAATATCTTTGGTCTCAATGCAGCGCAAGCTACCAAAGATGATTAAAAACAATTTTTGTCGGAACTCAGCGAATGAGTCACTGTTGATAATGACGAGTACTAGAGAGTGACGAGGGACGCTGTGCGGAAGCTGATGCTTCGGAACTCAGTAATAACTGGGAAACCCGCAACGTGACAGCTGTCTATGGGTCAGTAGCAGGACAACCTCCACATGACATCGCTCACCCTGCAGGTCTCTGTGTGGCTCAGGAAGCCATCTGATTACAGCGACTAAGATTGTCCAATATAGTGGGCAGTAGCAAATATGTCCATACCTTAAAACCATTTTGTTGATAGGGCGATCATCTTAAACACACTTATTTGATAGTTTTAGTGAGTAGTAATTTGTGATATAAACTAATCTACATAAATCTGAGCTTACAATTATGTTGGTAAGCTAAAAATACCTCAGAAAAGTTTCCAAGTTCTCGTCGCAATTTCCAAAGATTGTTAAACTGTGACATCTACTGGTCAGTTCTGGAATGGCAGCCTGCCGGCTGCATTTAATCCACTTCTATCAGTGTCATATTTTTCTTTTATTTATAGAATATGTCTATTGAACGTTTGTCAACAGTGACAGAATCGGTGATACACATCATGTCATATGCATGCACTGTGAGGGGAAAAAAAAAAAAGCCACACCAAATTACTTTACATTTTTTATTTTTTCTTATCTACTGCTGTTCATTGTTGATTCCTTATGCTACATTTAGGTCAGATTAATATCTGAAAAGTAAAAAATAAGGAAGAAGGCAGAGAGTAGAGTTGCAGATATATGGGCTTGAATGATTTAACTTTGTTACCTCATTTTAAATATCCAGGTTTGTGCATGACTTGAGCTGCTCTGCGCACCAAGCCAGTCATGCCGGGGGCTCCCCGATCTCCCACACGTGTCCCGAGTCTCTTTTGCGCACCTTACTAAGCGACAGCATGTGGACCCAAACCCAGTACATCTTCATGCCTGCACCTCCGACGAAACATCATTCACATGTATATTATTTTTTCAATACCGTGTCAGCTGGATGTTTTGTGAACAGTCTAGAAACGGCACAAAAGCACAGGAACTGGGTGCCACGCTGATAAAACCCTGAGTGCAGAAGAGATTAAATCGGAGGACTTTCGGGAGCATTATGGATCTTTCTCATCCAGGTTAAAGGCAATATGAGCCCATGCGAGTGTCTTTATTTGTTGCTCAAAGAGCCGAAAGGGCGGGTGCAATGCGCCACTGGAAAAAGTAGGCAAAACATCCCAAGACAAGTCACCCACAATTATCAAAGAAACGATCACCACCCTGCCCTAAATCAACAGTTAAAAGGATGAGATACTGCTTTTCCAGATTAACTTTTTATTACATATATTCATAACCTATGCAAGCATAAGAGATCCCTTCAAAAAGGCTGCAGTATTTGCACTAATAAACACCAAAAACTTGCATTGCAGAAACTGCTTGGGAAGATTACAGCTCTAAGTGACGGCGGCAAGTGCATAACCGAGAGCAGGGCCATCAGAGGATGTTAGAGATCAGGAAATAAGGGAGCTCCAAGTCCTGGCGGAAGAATGAAGAGGAAAGGAAGAACAAGAGTGATCCTTTTGCACTCAATAAACATCTAAACAGCTCTCACACTCTTTCCATTGGAAGTCGTTTCAAATCTTGTTTACATATGCAGACCAAAAACAAGAAATGGAAAAAAATAAAACAATAAGTTAAACCTTTCTATAATTGTTGAAATAAAAACAATGTATTTACAACAAAAAAAAACACATAATACTGAGCTGCCACGCACATTTCTTCTGCGCTCCGGATAGATCAATCTGCCCCTAAACATGCTCCGAGATCCAGACCAAAAAGCCCACGGTTCCAACGTGCAGCCAAATGGGCAAACGTAGTGTAGACGTGATCTTCGGGCAAAATACTAACTAAGCACACGGCAGAGTTATACATTCACAACCAAGTGGCTCTAGTGTATGTAAACAAACTAATATACGACAAAGTCTCCCTTTTCCAGTCTGCTGAATAAACAACAAAATCTTGACTCGCTATATTACTGAAGCGTTTTTCACTTTAGTTTAGATACGGATAAACTATGTCACGCCAACCATGTTTGTATATCGGGGAAAAAAAACAAAGGTCAAATATAGCATTGATTTTTCTTCTTCCCCATAATGATTTAGTGTTATTCCTACGGCGAGGCTGTAGACATTAGGCATGAGGGCTTATAAGCTGAGGAATTTAAATGGGTGCTTTATAGTGTCTTTATGGGAGCAGTGTTGTATAGTGGTTGTCCCCGAGGGCAACAGCGCTGATTGCCCGAGAACTGATGCAGATCAATTAAACCAGGGGTCCCAAAATCCCTTGATGAGGATCAAAATGGGCAACTAGTGTAGAGAGCAAGGAATGGACGGCATGTGATTTCAGGGGAGGAGACGAGGAGGACAAGTCCTTTGTCCCACTCTGCGAGGAGGGATGGGCGTGTGTGAGACCACAGGCTGGATTTACGGCTGCTCTTCTGTCTTCTTTAAAGAGATCCGTTTCTTTCTCGCTGCCAGCATCTCGTAGAAAGGGTCCACACTCACAGCAGCACTGTGGAGAGAGGTCTTTGAGGTCACCCAGGCTGGTTTACTACACACAGGAGGCTGTTCTGACTTAGGCATGCATTTCCCTACACATGCCCAGGGTCCCCTGCCTCTGTATTAAATACTCTCTCAAGCAGATTTATTTGCATGAACGTTCTAATCAAATTATGGGAATATAACATCAGCCTTAATGAGCCCCGTCTTCAGCCACCAGTCGTACACATAGCTGTGCTTCTGTTAGCTGCGCGGCCCACTCACGTGATGCTGTGTATCCACTCGTCCTTCTCCTCGGGGGTCGGCGCCGAGATGCGGTACACCATGTGATTCCCTTCCACCACACGGCCGTCCGCCTCTGTCTTGCAGGCTTTGATCAGCTGTCCGCGGTTGTTGGGGATATAGAGTTCGAAGCAATTCTGCACACACACGGAGGGGAACTGAGCACTCTACACTACTGCCCACCTATTTACCTGGACCGGAGGAATCAATACTCCACGTTTCCATTTACCCATACCATGTTTGTCTATGTAAACTTTAGAAATGTCCTAAATACAGCACAAAGGTGTAGCCTAAGAACTATTTCACGCCTCACACATACCTCATCCTCAATCCGCCAAACATGACTTCCATCTAATCTATTCACTTGCTGAAAAATTGTGTATTGCACTGATTTCATTTTTTGTTTTACAATTTTTTGTAAAGATCATCAACATGATACGTCACCATGGAATAATAACCTGTTCTGCAAAATGAATCACTTGTTCATGCTAATTATACTGATCTTGTGTCAAAATAAAATAATAATAATAATAATAATAATAATCATGATGGTGCACGGCCTTGCACTGTTGCCTCACACCTCTGGGACCCAGGTTGAAGTCTCCGCCTGGGTCACATGTGTGTGTAGTTTGCATGTTCTCCCCGTGTCGTCGTGGGGTTTCCTCCGGGTACTCCGGTTTCCCCCCAAAGTCCAAAGACATGCTGAGGCTAACTGGAATTACTAAATTGCCCATACGTGTGCATGTGTGAGTGAATGGTGTGTGAGTATGCCCTGTGATGGGCTGGCCCCCCCTCCTGGGCTGTCTCGTGCCCGTAGCTTCTGGGATAGGCTCCGGACCCCCCGCGACCCAGAAGGATAAGTGGTTTGGAAAATGGATGGATGGATAATAATAATAGTGTTCTTAAGGGCTATGTATGTTCTGGTGCATTTCTGACTGAAGCTGCGCTGCTCTCGACTGAGCGACCTCGTTTGCGATTGGAGGAAAGGAGGAAGGCAGACTCACAGGCTTCCTGGGATCCTCCACCTCACGGATGCTCAGGTTTTCCAGCGGAATGATCCCCCTGGGTTCCTTATCCTTGAGAACACAGCACCCAGCAAGGGCATGACCAACTCCAGCCCCGTCTCTATCACAGTACCACCCTCACTACCACAACAATTTTCCCTACAGACCTGATACAATTGATCTAAAGACTGACATACATCCAAACAACACTGAACGCTACAATTACACCTCACTGCTAGCACTACAGCCTAGAATCACTGATAACATAAAGAGCCCCTTAAGAAGTATATTTCTTTACAAATCAAATTTACGCTAAAAATTTTCCACAATGCATGGGAAGGCAGGCACTCACCGTAGTGTATTCAAAGTAATAAAGGCAGTTGTCCGTCAGAATGAACCATCGCCTTTTCCAGGTTTTCACCCGTCCTCCTAAAAGGAGAGAACATTCAGCCAAACTTTCATAAAGCTCTGCAGGCAGGCAGTTACTGGTGCATATATAATATGTGTAGGAAGCAAAAAGAATAACAACAAAGGAAATGAGAACATCAGGCAATATTCTGTGAGGTTCAAGAGGAGAGTTTCATCAGTATTAAAGTGATGCATCTGAAATAGCGTGTTTTGTGAGTAAGGCCGAGTATCGGGCCTGACAGTCAGATGGCTAATTACTGGGGTACATACCTCCTTAAGCACAAACAGCAGCAGAGTGCAGAATTCGCAGGCAAGCAGAGATCGGGAGCGGAAAGGGAGGAGAAGAGGTCAAAAGGGAGGGAGAAGATGGCAGAGATATTAGTAACAGGTCACAGAACCCACCATGCAAGAGGAGGTCAAGGCCCCAGGCTGCCGTGCTACAGCAGGAAAATGGTGTCTGTCTCAGGTATGTGTGTGTGTGTGGGGGTGGGGGTGGGGGGGTGGTTGAAGGCTGCAGGCATCTGGAGTCAGGGGAGCAGTGGACTAAACAAAAGCACCAGGACTCTCAAGCCTCCATCTCCATGTTTATAGTCTAAAGGCTATCTGATCTAACAGTGGGATATATCTTATTCTACCACTGTGTGCTGGCAGGCAGCCTCACTGGAGGGATGTCAACCAATCACTGTGCACTGCCAGCCTAGGGCCAATCACTAGAGGGAGGTCAACCAGTCACTGTGCACTGGCAGCCTAGGGCCAATCACTAGAGGGAGGTCAACCAGTCACTGTGAACTGGTAGCCACAGGCCAAATCACTGGAGGGAGGTCAACCAATCACTGTGCACTGGCAGCATAGGGCCAATCACAGGAGGGAGGTCAACCAATCACGGTGAACTGTTAACCACAGGCCAATCACTGGAGGGAGGTCAACCAATCACTGTGCACTGGCAGCCTGGGGGCAGTCACTGGAGAGAAATTAACCAATCACTGTGAACTGGTAGCCACAGGACAATCACTGGAGGGAGATCAACCAAACCAAATGAGACCCTTAGTAATATGAAGACCGAAGATCACCAGCATGTCGAAATCAAACTGCTGGTCACTCTCAGAAAGCAGCATCACACCACCGCGAGATTCATTCTGGTGGCGGTGTGATGATTAATTAGGTGGTTCGTATGTCAAATTTAAAAGACCCCATGCAGCAGTTGGTCATTTGACCAGGATTCTTATGCTAACTTAAGTTACAAAGCCTTAAAACTACTAAAATGTTTTTTGACACACAGGAAAGTGATTCTTTATTTAATTTCAAATGAAATACAAAAATATGAAGAAAAAAAAATGAATTTACAGACGTAGGCAGTGTACGGATGACTAAGCTTCACATTCCATTCTAAAGTATAGTTCTTTAGACAACACAAATGAACCAAGAAATAAACATTAAGAGCTAATTCAATGAGCATTCAAACAGCGGTATCAGCCTCCCATCACAAGGTGCCAGCAGCCCATCTCACCCAATTTGAGGAGCCAACCCTCTCTGTCAGGGTTGAAGAAGGTATGCGTCAGATCGTTTCCATCGTCTTCAGGAATCTTGAAAGGCTCGTTCTTGATGCTCTCATAAAGATTCTTAGAAAGGGAAAAAGGCATTGTGCTTAGGAAGTGAAAAATCACATACTATACCATACTTACTGAATTTCATTGGAAGTGTGCCACTCGACCGTCAGTGTAGCACGCATTGTATGTATGCACGACACTCCGCTTTGGAGCCGCAAGTGGCCGGCCAGAGATCCACAGGTTGCCAAGACCCGCTCCACAGTGAGTAAAGCTGTCAGAGTAACATCAGAGACAGACTTACTCTCAGCAGCTCTTCTGGGAGGTCGCCTCCATCATTGATCCCTCGATTCATGGAGATGAACCTGTCCACACCGGGCTTGTCTCTCACATTAGGATTGTGAAGACTAGTGTTCAGCATGATGATCGCAAATGAAAGCACATAGCATGTGTCTGTGGAAGATGGTAGGGGTTAGTTTAGGAAATGGAGACTATTAAAAAAGAATACAAATAAATTAGCGTACCAAACTGCACTTAAACCAAACAAGATTTATGCTGATTATATAATGTTATTTTATGAACTCAAGTATTCTGCCAGTCAGCAGATGGTTGGCGGACCAAGTCACATGATTACAGTTGTGTACCTGTGCTTTGGAAGACTCCAGGATTACAATGACAGTATCTCTGAGCAAAGGCCTCCATCATCCTGTCAATCTTCTGAGCTTCTCCTGGCAGACGGAAACTCCACAGGAACTGCCTGGGGAAATGAGTGGAGGACACCGATGGGCACGGGCAGCTAAGTGCCCCCATGCAGGGTATTTCTAAGCGGCTCCAGGAAGGGCGCCCTACTGTCACATACTTGGTAGCCATCACCTAAGTGTGAACTGAGAACATGACCAGAATGCTCACCTGAGAGCCTGTACCAGGTTGAGGTCTGTGAACTCATGAAGGTCAACAAATGCTTGGAGGACTTTGATGTTGAAGTCGTCTCTGAAACAGAGGCAGACACAGGCTTCCAGCTGCACTGCTATAACATGGACTGGAAAGGCACAGAGGTGCGGCTGGTTCTGAGCTCACCTCTCGCCCAGGTAATCTCCAATGGCTGTTTTGTTCAGCCCCTCTCCCTTGTACAGGAACTGGGCAATGTCCTCAGGCGTGTGCCGGAGAAGATCGTTTTCCACCAAGAACACGATACCCTGCATTTGTACACACATCAGCCAGCGCATCAGAGGAACACCAAGGTGAACCTGGCTTAATGCAACACACCCTTTACAGAGAGGAGAGGAAAGGAAACTGGAGCCCGACACATGCGTGACACAAAGAACAGAAATGAGAGAGTGATAAGTGTGGGTCATCGGTCAGATAATGGTACACACAGCATATCGAGGAAGAGATTCATGCCTTTAATCTGTCATTTTATCCCTAGACGCCCAAGAACATGGCAAATGTGTTCAGCTGCTTTGCTGAGATATCTCCAGAAATATGGCCAAAGCAGCTTGGCATGTCAGTGTCTTTTAAAGCCAAGTAAAGGTGTGTACTTCAGCCAGTTTGAACTGTAGTGGGTGCAGTGACTCAGTGTATAGTACTGTTACCTCACGTCTTAAGGGGTGACAGGCAAGTAGCACATCATAAGGACTACTTAAATCAGACAAGTAAATAACCAATCAAATTATATACCAATGTACACAGGCAAGGCCTGTGATGCAACCAGATAAGTAAAACAATAAGCCGTGAGTAGAGTTTACAGAACACGCAGTACATTCATCTGACTGATGGCTGCCTGCCTGTCTAGTGCTGACAGAGTTCTATAATCTCCTAAAACAAGATTGTGTCCCTCTGGGGCTGATCCCCAGCCAGCAGTTGGAGGTTCTCTCACCTTCTTAGGGTCCATGTTGAACTTCTTCCTTCCCATGGCAACATGCCTATTCTTCTGTAAGGTTTTACTGCAACGGAAAATAATTAAACCCAGCATTACATTAGAGTATTAGTAGAGGAGAAACGTTTAACCTGAAGTGCCCAACAGATGATTTCTGAAGGTGTTACTGGGAAACAGGTGCCTCACCTGCCCTCCGTGCTGGATTCAAGGCCCTCAACTTCCATGATGGCCTCTCTCAGCTCCTCCCGCAGCCTCTGGATCTCCATCAGAAGGGCTCCTTTCCTCCGCCGGATGTCCTCCAGTTCAGAGCGCTCCTCCGGACTCAGGTCCACGGGGACTGCAGCAGACAGGAAAAGGAGATTGTCAGGGGGCGTGGAGCCCAGCAGGTTGGCAATCTCTGCCTGTTTGGTTGTTGGTTCAAATCCCATGGCAGGCAGAGTAATCGTAACACTGTTGAGCCCTTGAGCAAGTCCCTTAGGCCCAACTGCTCTGACCCCAAACTCTCATGTCAGAGAAAAGCATATGCTGAATATATGTAATCCCAAAGAGCAGTTACAGAAGACCTGAGGACTAGAGTAACAATAAGATATTAACAATAAAAAGCATAAAAATGTTTTAATATCTTGTCCCTTATTACATTTATCATTTCGCACTATTATTATTATGACAAACCAAAACCATAAAATGTGACGTAAGATCATGTCCTTAGGCAAGGTTTTCCATTACACATTAAAAAAAAAAAACCCTATGATGCTTCACAGTCACAGGCGTGTTAAAACAGTCACTGGGTGACAGGCTGTGCTCTAGGCTACTCTACCACATGCCTCTTTAGGATAATAAGCAACACACCAATCATCAATCAGTTATTAGATTCCACTTATGATGCTTCTTTATAGTAACCGTATCTAATGTGTGTATTTTTCAACAAACGGATATTTAACAACGTGCATGGAAAGCAATTACTGATTCCTGGAAGCTTTGCAGCATGCAAATAAACTGCATCCAAAGGCAAACAGCTAATGAAGAATGCTCTGAATGCCAGACATTCATCCGGCAGTGAGATCGGAGAGATAATGGTGTGAATAAAGATAAAACATTTTGATTGTATTTGTGAAGCGATGCTGGATGCGCTGAGCTCGCCGGGGAAGGTCACGTGGTCTGCATTCCCTCGCTATGCACAAGCGATCAGCTCAATCACACCGAAACTGTCGTTTTGCTGCCCTCCTGGGAAACAATCTAAAGGGTGTTACGGGAATGCAAGAGCCACTGATGTTCTCCTGGTGCCTACCACTAGTTATGTTATCGTTATTGACACGAACAAAGATTAACAATAATAAGCTTTTATAAGCCATCATGATCGCACCATTAACCTGGAGCTGCACAAACGTCTGTTTTGATAACTAACCAGCAAGTCAACCCCGCCCCCTAGTAATGAAACAGCGGTGTTTAAACAATACGTTTACAACGAGTGCCTGTGACCAGTTGTCTAATTAGCACAACAATTTCGCTGTCAATGCGATACCTCGATACTAAGTAGTAAGCATGTCAACGGTACAGTTCAATCCGCTGCAGGACAGCCGAAACAGAAAATAATAATATACAGTTAAAAGGTCGACAGTCTAATAGCTCGGTGCTCCATAAATCGTGTGGAGTATACATGTTTCCGACACGCGAAATAAGGCTTCCCGACAATATGTGTGTACCTAGCTAGATGGTGGGGTATCCCGTGGGTTTCTGCCTATGCCGTTTAATAGCTATTTCTTCAGACGGATATACTCACTGTAGTCCAGATCATCCATTTTTGGCGCTTTGCTCTTAGGCATATATGTATCAGGCTCGAATGTCATTCAACAGCCGTAGAAATAATGGATATAAAAAATATCCTCTGGCCAACAAAATCAAATAACAAGAAATAAATAATTATTCCGTCCGCATCCAGATAACGAGACTAGACAAAGGAAGGCGCAAAGACGGAAGTGACGATTTTGACGCGATACTTTCTAGCGTTCTACGGCGGCCAACTTGGTAAGGGCGGAGGAGAGTACGCATGTGCGTTCCTGAGTGCTGCCATTTTGGAAATTTGACCCATAATTTGAGCCAAGATGGTTGCTAAGACTTTGCCGCAAGTTACGTGGTTCTGCGTTTTAAATTAATAAAACGTCGAATAGTGGATTCATGTGATTTTGTGGATACTTAAGCATTACTAAGAGCTCGAGACGTGGGCATTAAATTAAATTTAAACCCGAAGGCACATTTATGTGAGGCTTACTTGGGGAGAATTTAGGTATATCTTTATGATCTTTAGACCACGAAAACGGTTTCTTTAGTTCAGACGACGTCAATCAAGATTGTTACATGGGTGTTGATAAGCGCTGATTTGGCACAAAATAAGTTACATCTACATTTTGTATACATCCAGGAAATACAATTTACGATACTTAATTTCGAAAAATATTAATTACTTTCACTGGGCAAATAAAAATGCAGAGATGTCTGAGCCTGTAACCTTGCCACCAGTAAATCTCCACGCAAGTCATTCGATCCCGATGCGTGCAGCAATTGTGAGTTCAATAGCAATATAACAAAGCACTTAGGAAAATATTACATTTCTCCACCAATTATTCAGTTTAGAAGAATTTCCGTTTTATGTCTCCGGAAGTGTGTAATGTTGGATTTGCTCCCGGGGAGCATGTTTAGGCTACTTGAGGTTAATATCCCCACCGCCTGTGTGAATTATTAAACAAACATGACCTCACTGGATACGCATTATCTGGATGTCGTCCCGTATGAAACTTATAGTAGTTAGTGACTGTCTTAATCTACCACTCATTACTTAACAACGTTACATAAATTGGGTATTTCAGTCGTCTTCCCATTTTCAGTTGTCTGATACAGATTAATGCCATTTTAATCTGATGACATATGTGAAAACGGCCTGAATGAATATGTGAGTTCTCTAGTAATGTTGTGTGAAATTTCCACCATAAAAGTTAATTATTCAACAGTCAGCCGTTGTTCATCTGTCAACCTACAGCTCATGCCTAAAGAATTTTCAACAAAACGGTCTTTTCAGTGACCTTCCTGGTTTTAATTAAAAAGCAACATTTCTTCCGATAAGTCAGCATGTATCAAGAGTGGCACAGATCCAGAGCTGATACCAGTACTAACAAATACACAAACTTTCTCATAAAAAACTGGGTGGTTCAACAAAATAAAAGAGAAACCAGAGAATATGCTGTAAAATCTATTCTACATAAGTCTGAATCTGGGCTCCGGAAGTCGACTCTTTTAACCTTATGTGTCAAACAAAAGAGGCTTATGAAACTAGGGAGGGACAGAAGGATTTTGTTACTTTTTGGATTAGGCTGATGTTTGAAGGACAGCAGATAGATGCCACGTAAGAGAAGCATGACAAGTAGGACTATCAGATTAACAGAGTAACTCAAAAGCGAATCTGAAAATCAGATATGGTGATCAGCAATGCTTCCAGTGGCTAGACCCAAGAAACATCTCACAAAGCAAATAGGAAGGGAGGAACTCAAACAGCTAACATCGTAAGAATTGTGGGGAAAACCAACCCCGCTCTCATCAGCAAGCTCAGCACTGCAAGATAAAAGATAGCAAACTATTTGAAAGGAACCCAGCCTAGTACCAAGACTACTGCACTCTTATGCATGGGATAAGGGTAAAACATGAGGCAGCTCACAGAAAAAGGTGGCTTGGGGCAGAGCTGTTCACTGAAGAGAGAATGAAAGTAGTGACTGGTGTGAAGATTCATAACAGTGCTGGAACTTAGTAGGACACAGATCTATTTGCTCAACTGCAATCCTCAACTAGTTTTATGGTACGTGCAAGAAAAAAATAAAAACAATAATTTATTATATGAGCTCCTAAGACAGACAGGCAAATTTAAGTAGCTGAAATCACAGAAGACACTTTTCAAGTAAAATTTATTATCAAGAAGAAAAGCTTCAAACTTATAGAACTATCAACTGTACATAACTGATTTATTTTTTATTACAAGCATCAGCTATAGACAAGACATCTCACTGCCATTATTTAGAGATAGTCACAATCCATTATTATTACTATTATTATTGTAATATCAAATTGTTCTAAGACACTGTCTTTGCTCATGGATGAAGTTAAAGCAGGTTTAAACTCTTCATGTATAACTAATACACTGGCCAATTGTAAACTGATTCAATGCCTACATTTGATGTCCTCACTGCCTTCAGAGACTGCAAAAAAAACTGAAACAATGATCCTACATGACCAGAAACGTATAGCCGAGCTCCCTCAGCAGTAAGAAAGCAACAGGCCATGATCCAACTTCATCTGAAGATGAGAACATCGAAGAGGAAACCAAGCCTGGTATTGAACTGGTCGGGGTGTGATTACAGGGCTTCATTTCTGGTCTTTCTTCCTCAGACTATACCGGCTCAATAAAATACAGGACACCTGCTTATTCCAGAACCGCCAGAACTATACAAATAGCAAAAGCATTTTTTGGGTGATCTTAAACCAACTTTCTTCTGAAATACAGAAACTCTGGGTTTTACAGCCCGAGCATCACATAATGTGTGACAGGATTCCAGCATCCATATTACAACAGGTTACATAGTAAGTCCTCGTCAGGTCAGTTCAGCACCATCCAAGGCTGTCCTTGGTAATAGCAGTAGTAACTAAACAAACCACAGCATGTGGACATACAGGGATGCAAGAGGCAAGGCAGAAGTCACACGGACACACCTGAAAGGGCTCTTTTGTGTAAATGAGTGCTTCTCAGTCCTGGTCCATCACACTCGGTCCAGCTGAAATCTTTCACAATTAGGTAAGACTGAGTGATTCATTCACTGCATCAAATGATAAAATTCTTTGAGGACTATTCGATCACAGTGCACCAAAGAACAAAACATAAAACGTATATGCAAACCGAATGCATATCTGTAACTTGTTAATTTGTGAAATAAATACAACTGAACAGCATATATTTAGTACATAATTAAACAATGAAAACTGCTTTATGTCTCTGAAGGGGCAAACATTACTTTTTCAGGAGCATAATTATTCCTAGCAATAAATTAGTTTGTAAAACAAAGCCTGTTTTGAAATGTCTCATTCAATCAACAGTCCAGCAAAACATGAAAACCAGAATATAATGAGTTGTGCGGACCAGCACTGTGAAACACTGGAACAGATCTATTGGAAATTCACTATTATTAATTATTATTACTATTACACTTTAGTCAGCAGGACAAAGACGTCTGAGGATAGGACACTTCATGAGTAGCCAAAAAGTGTTCTCCGAATTAAACACCAGAGGACACTGGATTTTGTCTGCTTGCTATAAGCTTTCACTGTAGGTATGACCTCCCCTTTAGTGAAACGGTACAGTTCAGGCTCCATTACTGCGGCACGGTAAACACCAGGATCGAAGACATTCAGCAATAAATTTATTGATGTGGGAATTCATGGGAAAATAAGCAAGCGTGAACTTTTCAAAACTGTACTTTCCTAAATGGCAAGGAAAACATGTATGTATTTTAGATTTTTTTTTTTAAGTGCCAGTAAATGACCTTTGTGAGCAGGATAGGCCAGTCAGAAAGGAATTTGTAGAATGTATCTGTCCATGAATCAGTGCTGTAATTCCCGGTGGGGGGAGGGGCTATGTGCACAGGAGGGTGTGGCTTTTGCTGTGGCTCACGGAAGGCAGCTTTCTCCGATAAGGCAGGGACACGTAACGCGATGACGCATGTGAATATACTGAAATGTATACACACTATAACAAACCGACACTCACACGCGCACATTTTTGTTCTTCATTCTTAGAGACGTCACACGTCCAGCCAGCCACATCAGGGAATTCATCCCAATTCAGCAGCAACACCACAAGTGCTACAGTGATCCCTTTAGCAAATGCACTTTAAAAGCCTCAAAAGTCCATAGCAGTCAACTATAAAGTGAATCAGAAATGATCCATTATTGCAATCCAGGCAATATCAACAATAATAATAACAAACAAACACACACACACACACACAAACTCCTCTCTCAAAGTGAAATGCTACAATTGAAGGAAGTCAGCATTCAGAGTCTGGTGATCTTCACTCCAGGGTCACCTACGATGAGTCTGGCCATGGAAGGATGGACCTGGGGTACAAACAGACGGGGTCATGTGTCAGACAGTATCTGCAAGCAGGTCCCTACATCACAGGATTACTGATCATTAACTCCTGCTGTAAAATCCGTGGCCAAACAGCCAATAAATAGTCAAGAATGATCAACACTTTAAAATCATTAGGGCCTTCCAGTCAATGTTTATCATGAGAAGTATATATAAATATCTCTGATAGACACGGGCTTTGTCCCATTTACCCCACCTAAGTGCCAGCACACAGAGATACTACACACTTTGGTGACATATGTTGCTGTGAATAAGAAACATGCTACAACTATGTTGTCATTTGTGTTAGCTGTGTTTGGGGTTGTCCTAGACTGTATCCTAGGTCATGTAAACATTCGTTATACTACTTTGCTTGCTACACTGATATGCCGACAGTCATCCTTGTGTTCGATGTAAACTTTACTCATCACTGATGCAGTGCATTGTGGTCTATATACTTTGACAAGTACCACATGGAAGCGGTCTTCGCCAAAGTGTGGATAAAGTACACTATGTGTGCTGTACTTGGCTTATTTGAGAGATGGGATATGAACGTGCCCATAAAGTGTGTACTTGGTGGAGTCCATCTGGTTTAATGAAGGTTTATGATTTATTAAATGAAAAGCACTATACACACATACAGTAGGGCAGTGTTTCTCAACCCAGTCCTCATGTTTTTGGTCCCTCCCTGCTCCCTGTCAGACAGTCCACATTTTTAGGCAGCTGGGACACCCAAGACCCGGATTGGGAAACACTGCAGTAGGGGGGGGATGTAAGAGGACACGTGTGATGCTGTGGTTCAGTGACAATCCTGCTGTTCCCACCTGTGCCTGCAGGGGTCCATATGGCACCAGCTCCCCATCAACGGTGAGGGTCCCACGGGGGGAGAGGGGCTGCAGCCGAAATGCCTTGGCAGAGACGTGACTCACGTAGGGGGACGTGAGGCTCAGGTGGGCACCCCTCTCCATGGCCAGGAAGAGGCGCAGCAGGGTGGCCCTGGAGATGCCGGCCCGCACGAAGGTCAGGTGGATGAGGCCATCGTCAAAGCGAGCCTGGGGGGCGGCCAGGAGGTCGGCCCCCAAGTGTGACTGGTAGATGGCCAGCACGAGGACGAAGTCGCCCTCCACCGTCACCCAGTCCCGTGTGGGTATTGGCTGGTCCAGTGGTGGGAGGAGGTCGTCTCTGGGGGGGGCATAAACCTCGCTGATGGCAGTGCGGGTCTTTACCGGGCCGGCTGGCTCGGCGACGTCGAACGTGAAAGAGGGTGATGGGGACCGGAGGGACGGGGAGGGAGACGCTGAGCCAGGGCTTCCAGGCCGGGGGGTGAGGTAGGTAGACGTGAGTGAGGGGGCAGCTGGTGGGGATGAGGGGGGTGTGGGCGGAGACATGGACAGGGACAGCTTTGGGGGCAGGGAGTTGGAGTTAGATTGGAGCAGAGAAAGCGGCCGCGGTCTGGAAGAGTTCTGGTTCTGATCCACGGATTTGGGCTTGTAGGAGCGGGTGATGTGGCGGAAGGGGGAGGAGATGGTGAGAGCGCGCTCCCGCATTTCCAGTGTGTAGGGCTGCCGTGGGAAGGCGTACGTCCCATTCAGCTCCGCCTCCTCAGCACAGTAGCCGGAGTCGCACTCAAGCTGAGGACCTGGGGCCCTGGGGGGGCCGCAGATGGCGCTGACTATCTGACTGGACGGGGCCGAGTTCTTGCGCTGCTCCCTGCGCTCCTGGTAGCAGCTGTCGCACTCGTCCTTCCCGGTTCCTGCCCCATACTGCTCACTCGCTTCCACTGCTTCCAGGACGTCTTCCAAGCTGCCGTCCTTCCCGTCTGTGGCGCTCTCATCCTCCCTGTCGTCAGAATCGGGATCCTCCATTCCCACCTCTGTCCTGCCCTCTCCCTCAGGCGGGCTTCCTTCTTGCGCATCACCCCCCTCCCGCTCCCTCTCCGCCTCCCGTTCCCGCTCCCTGTCTTCCGCCAGGCTGCTAGCCCGGGTCACGCCACCGCCCCTGGCCCGCCCACGCCTCCTCTCGCGCCTCCTCTCCCGCTCCTTCTGCCTCTCCCGCTCACCCTCCTCATCGTCCCTCCGCAGACTCCGCTGCTCACTCAAACCCATGTCGGAGACGGTCCGGTGGATGGGGGTCCTACAGAAGCCCTCCAGGCCTTCAGTGATGCTCCGGGAGAGGGGCCGCTTCTGCGGGGGGGGCGTGGAGTCTGGCGAGGCCGTCACGGCCGTGGGAGGCAGGTAAGACAGGCGGCCCTTGTAAGACCTGAGGGAGGCCAAGCGTACAAGAGTGCCGAGGGTAAAGCGGGCGGAGCCCAGGCCGCGGTACCGCTCGCTCTCGATGTCCACGTCTGACACAAAGCCCCAGGCCACCGACAAAAAGGAGAAGAGACGTCTTTGGGTCGGCCGTCCGTTCTGATTGGAGGCCGGCCGACTGGTCGTCACAGAGACCAGGTCCATGGGCTTGACACATCCACGGCAGAGCAGGAAGCAGCAATTCAGGAGGAGGGGCTCCCGGAGGCACATGTCATAGCTGGTGAAGGCCAGAAACATAGCTGGTTAGGGCAGGAGCAGCCCTACGATTTGGCATGGGGGCTAAAGCTGGCCAGGGGGATGGGGAAAGGGGGGTGGAGCTACCAGTTGATGGGGGCTAAGCATGTCTGGAATGTTCTTACTGTGTTATTACAGAAATGCTGGAATAACATGTCTGTGCGAGACACATCACATGACAAAGTGAGAGGGTCACATGACAAAGTAAAGGTGAAGTAATCACCCTGCATGGTGGTTGATAGAGCCAGCGAGGGCGTTCCCAGAGCCACAGGGAAGGATTCCCACTGGAGTCTTTATCGCTTCTTCCCAGTCGGGCCGCTCCATCAGTCCATTTATTACCTGGGGGGGGGGGGGGAAACAAAGAAACTTGGTAACCGTCCACCAAGATCAGATAAGGACCACAAAGGAATGTTGGAAGTTTGGGGGGGGGGGGGGGGGTTAAAAAAAAAATGAGACAGGTTAAGCTGCTGGCTGGATATTCACTGCTGGCGTGCAGGGCCAGAAATGCCCCATAAAAAACCAGAACCTCCACAGAGATCAGAAATCATGTAAAGAGATCCGACTGAGAAGTGGGACGGACAGACGGACCTCGTGCAGCAGTCCATCGCCAGAGACGATGACAATCCCGTCCCACTCCGCCAAAGAGATCTCCCGAACCAACTCCTTAGCATGATTTTGACGTTCTGATGGGGGGGGGGAAATGTAAATGTAAAATATAAAACAATAAAAATGCACAATTTAAACTGTGTGGCTCGCTGTGAACCCACCTGTCTGAATGAGGTTATAACTGATGCTGGCTTCTCTGATCATAGGCAGGATGTGGCTCTGACACCATTGCATAGCCTGGCCCCGCCCACTGAAGGGGTTAACCAATAGCAGCAAGCGTCGGGGACGAGGCAGGAGGCCTTTGTTGAATTCTGTTGGAAAGGTGGGAGGAGGAGGACTTTCATTTATTAAACCAGGGGGGAAAAAAAAAAAAAAAAAAAAGTTGTGAGCATGAAGCTGAACGCAAGCCCTCTGGTGGACAAAGGAAAGCAGCACGCTTGGTCACACCACACAGTGGGCCAGAGCACCAAACACGCCGACCCAGGAAGACCCAAAACTCTGGAACTATAATGGGCTTTTACCCTAAAACACAAATAAGATGTTCAGCACCTGAATGAGGCCAACAAGCAGACCATTCATCCAGCAAATTAAAACAACCCTGATTGGACTGTGACTGTGACTGTGTGTGTGTGTGTGTGTGTGTGTGTGTGTGTGTGGGGGGGGGGGGGGGGGGGGGGGGGATGGGGTTAAGAGGTGTACAGTTAACAGTGGACATATATGTACTGATATTATATACTGATATTAGATTTTCCCTGTATGTGGCTGCCCATGGGGCTTTGAGTCACCAGCAGGGGGTGCTGTGACTCTGTCCCAGCAAACACTACGGCGTTACTGACCTGTAGTGGCACAGACGGTCACGCCCCTGAGCAGACACTGCACGGCGGCGCACCAGCGTTCCGCATCAGGGCGGTTCTCCGCCAGGTAGGCCCTCACCTGCCGCCGCCGGGACACGCCCTTGCGGCGCCGGCCTGAGGGGTACCAGTAGAGCAGCAACAGGGGGGGCGCGGGGTGCCGGGGGCAGCTGCAGCCCAGCAGCTCGGCCAGGGGCAGCAGCAGGCGAGCCTCCTTGCCGGGCCGGGCCGACAGCCTCTGCACGTGCAGGTGGGAGTGCGTTAGCGTCAGGGCGTACTTGGCCCCGCCACCCCCCGGGCTGTTGGGGCAGCCATTCCCGTCACTGCTTCCACCCCCCGAGCGGCTCCAGCCGCTAAACTGGCCATGCAGTAGTGCCTCTGCGGGGTCGGGGGGCGCCACATCCGGCAAGGGCATCCTGAACGTCCGGTGGGAGGTGTCCTCAGTGGCCCGGCGTGCCCCGATTCTTGCTGCGCTCGCTTCCTGGCAAACGGACGGGCTGAAGTGGAGCCGACACTAGAGTTTCTGGTGGCCGGACACGCTCATCGGTGCCGAGGTACCCAGACCCGCTCGGGCCTGCGGCACATGGCTGGAGAGCGGAACACGACTGAGGCAGAGGGCATGCGCCTCACACACCTCAGCACCTTTGCGGGAAAACAGCAGCTAAATAATGCCACAAGTTCTTCATTTCAGTGCTCAGGCTTCACAACGTGCATTCAGAAGATTCACACTTCTGCTCAGCAGCACGACATCGCAGGTTTATACGCATGCAATCCACGACGTTCCGAGTCCGAATCCTAAAACAAAGGCTGTCCAACCCTACAGATGTTCTTCTGTTTTCTAAAGTGCTTCAAGTGCCTTTAAAATGGATTGCACAGGGTCTAAACATCCCAGTAGCTCTGAAAGGACTAAATTGCTACAGGTCACCAGCTCAGTCAGGATATCGGCTTCAAAGTTCCCTTCAACAGCTTCTGCATCCAGTTATTTTTCAGCATTACTTAAATACTGCAATGTCACACATACATCAACTCACGATTCACCGCAACTTAGGAAAACTCTCCAGCTGTAGTTAATATAGTGTTTATTTTTAGACAATATCGTAGTGCAGTGAAGTCAGCAACTAAATGTTCAGAGGTCGAATGGAGACAGTTTTAAACTATCATACTCACTGAAAGAATTAGTTTTTCCCTATGGCATTACACCACAAACAGAGACAATTCATATGGTAGTCTTGTCGGTAGGCAAAAAGACACTTATCCATGTTCTGCAAAAAGCTGAACACTTTGGCATTCCCAAAGTCCAAAACTTTGGGAATGCCAGAGAAGGTGAGGCTGGCAAAAAAAAAAAAAAACTAGGAATTTTCTGGAAATGAAATGGTCTCTGTGGTCCGGAAGGCTGGCGTTTACGATTTCCTTTTATCTGACAGGAAAATGCCACAAAATACAGTATTAAGATTAGCTTGTTTTCTTTGCCTGATTCTGTCCTCTAAAAAAAAGACTGGCTTAGTTTTTCTGAGTTAGAGTTATGTTGATCTTCATTAGGAAGCATCAGCTATACTGGTGTCCGTTCAAGGAGGCAAAATATCCTACGGAGAAAAAGAAAAATTATATTTATTAAATCAAAATTACACACATCAAATCTGCAGTTCATACTAGGAAAAGGTAAAATGGCAATGAAAAAAAATGAAGTTCAGAAGACTTGAAGATCTGTGCAATCAGAAAAATTTTACAAAAATAAAAATGTCAAAAGCCCATCTTACAATTTTTTATTTTTTTTTTAAAAGCAATGAAAAAAACAGAACAGGAATTTTTGAAAGAAATTAAAACTGAATGTAAACTGCTCAGAATATAGCAGAGTGGATCATACAGCAGATCACGCAGAAATGCAGACCTGGCACTTTTACAGGCCACACTGGTGTGCACGAGCGTCATCGTGAGCAAAGCCATATGGAGCAATTTGACAAAATTCCTGACACGTAGCTAACTGGTGCCATCACATGGAAACAGAGCCCATAACGTCCCACTCACGTCAAACGGACCCAGCCTCACTGAATCACTAACTGCAGCCAGACTTAACAGCTTAACTGACACTCCACAATGTAAAGACATTCTTTAATAACTATTAATTAACTTAATACCAGAATATTTGGTTAACCTCGTTTCATCAGCATGCTCCTTCATTTACTATAACTTTTTAATGTAATTTTCCTTCAAAGAAGTGTGTTTGCTCACAGTGATGAGAATGAAGTAAGTTGAGTGTTCAAGATGCCTGGATTGACTTTGCTATTTATAATACATTGAATTACTTTTATCTTCTATTTTAGAATGACTTGATATCGAGCTCCAAGCTTCTTCACAGTAGAGAGCACAGGGGTGACAACGGCCACAAACGCCGGCACTTTCAGCAAAAGGAAATTCCAGAAAGGCCTCCGCTCCATCAAGCGGATCTCCAGTGAACCCTCACCCACCAGCCCCATATCAAGGAGACTTTCTTTGAAGTGTTTCATGGATTTTTCAAATCACTCCAGCAAAAAATAGACACGTTAAAGGTCAACATTTTCCAAGTCCCAAAAACTCAGAGACATTGTGTCAGGCAGCCGGTAACTATTGTACTCCTTTGTTTCTCAAGTGCTGGACAGGGTCCACATTGAGTAATGCTTACTTAGTCACAGAAACATGACGACTGATTCATGGATAATTCCACAAATCTTACTTCACCCCCCCCCCTCCAATTTACTGCTAAGTACAAAGAACCACAAATGATAAAATGGCACACATCTCTGAAAATGCCTTGTCTCCATAAACACAATCTCGATAATATATCTACAGAGCAGAGATTCTGAGAGTGAGACAGACATCAAGGTCTATGGACTCACTATCATACACATGCAGGCTGTCAAGATATCGCCAACAAAGCACGTGAATATAATTATACTCAAAACCACCATAAAAAGTACAGTTGTTGTTTTCGCAACTCAACTTAAATTCTGGAATAGAATTAGAACAGGGGCGAAGGCATCCTGAGAAGAATATAAGCTTGCATGAGTACCACATAACCAAGGTTGAAATTAAAACCATTGGGAGTGGGGGAAAAAAAAAATCAAGATTAAACACACAAACCAAAGCAAAAGCCATAGTTACCTTAACGAAAGTGATGAAAGAATGCACACACATCCTAAACATGGTTCATTTATACCATGTTCAGCATACAGCTAAGACCTGGAGCCCCCGCACACATTGCGATTAGACGCCCACACAGTCCTGGGTCTCTATAGCTCGTTTCATTCATACGCCCCCCCTAAATTACACTGGATTATGGGCAGCGTAGCTAGTGCACTCACTGAAGCAGCCTGTGCCGGATCCTCCGCAAATACTGCAGCCGCAGAGCATCCCTCACCCAGCCACTCTCCATGTGATCATCGTATGTACAAGCACATAAATGTGGTGACATGTCCAGTTATGAGTATTTTAATTAAGAGCTAAATACATCCTTACTAGCTCCGGACAGTCATATAAACCAATTCAGAAAAACAAATTAAATGGCAAGTGTTATAATAGATAAAATACTCGCTGACAGAAAGACAGTAGGTTCATTGAGCAGATTCACTTCCCCTGCTTAGAAAGGAACAGAAGGCAGTTATGTCTGCCTGCTCAGAAACAGCTCAGCCTTTGGTTGAGACGTCCCAGCCGTTTGTGCTGCACTGACCAACACGGTCAGGCATGTGACAGAGCACCGCCAGCCTCGCAGAGCGGTGCCCATAACACGGATAGCCCCAGGAGGCTCAAGGGGCTTCCAGGAACTTCGAAATCTCAGATATAGGAGCACAGCTTGTTCACTTAGAGCATCTACAGGTAGATGAGGGTGGCTCAGGTTTTGTCTCTAGAGACCCCCATCCAAAACCCTGCTGTACCCTAGTATGGAGCATAAATACAGAGAACCAAGGAAAAAAAAAAAAAACATCGTATGGCCATCAGTGGCTAAGTGGCCATAAATCTGAATGGTCCATGACTCAATATCCAGTCACTGCTGATCAACTGGTCCCGGGAGAAATCATGCACATTACCACGACAGCTGATTCAGCTCTGCACTCACTGGACTATAAGTGTGTCCCATCCACTCCACGACTCTCCTCAGCATACAAAGAACCAGGCTGCCTACTACACTGATACCCGGAAAACAGTCTAGTTACAAAACCCAATTAATCTGGATCAGCCCAACAAATTATTTAAGGAATCACGCTTGTAGGAGTAATTCAATCTTTGGTTGAAGTCCTGCGCAACAGAACACATGTGCTGGTGCCTGGAGCTCTCTTTCCCGTCGTTTTACAAACAAAAAAAAAAAAAAACATGTAGACGGGACGGGACTTACCACAAACACATTATTATTATTATTATTATTATTTAAAATAAAAAAAACACAGAAAATACGTAGTCTGTTGATCAACTCTATATGCGACACAACAATGGAAAAAAAAAAAATATATATATATATATATACACACACACACACACACATATACACATACACACACACACACACACACACATATATATAGGAGAACATATATATATTTATTTAAAGCAGTGTTGATTAAAATACGTCATTGATTTGTGAGAAACTTTATTCTAGGCTGACTATCGCTCGGTCCCAGGTTATTACACTCTATCCGTATTAATTACCGCTTTAAAAATGATACTATTGTCCGTCCGAAGTGAACTTTGCGGGGAATAAAATGACATGAAAAAAGATCTTATGTTACGCTACCTTGAAATGCAGCTCTTTGTTGTATAAAAATGCAGTCATAAAAACGTGTTGTTTACAGCTATCACATGTACTTTGAACAATGATCAATAGGCATGTTACAATTAAACGGCTGTGAAATGCCTCACTTAACTTGGTCTACCTACCTAGTCCACAAAACAAAAAACACCTAGAAAAAAACCCTGAACGAAATGACATTTAGATACTTCAACAAATTAAAACTATATTTTAGGGGACGATATTTAACTTCATTTTTATTATGCTTAACATGTTAATTGTTTGCAGACCGAGACCTCTATGTTGAAAACAAAAAGTCTAAAGAAATGGTCAGTCTTTATAAACTTCAGCAAAAAGCATTCGATCCCCCCCCCCAGTGATCTTTCTCAGATATCGGAATACTTAACTAGCATAAGCTTAGCACAGTTCTTCCATTAAATTGACAGAAAAAAACAACTTGAACCATAACATAAAAACTAAACGGACTTCAACAAAACGGAGCCAGAACAGAAACGTTTACCGGTCTAATAAGAGATCAGATTAACGTTTCCCCAGCAGCGTTATCTAGATTACCAGCTGGCTGCCTGTACCATGGAAACTCGGCTTTCTGCGCTTTAGCTAACGCCGGGCATCAAACGCTTTAGGATAAACAGCCAACTGGCTAACTGGTTAGCAATCGGACCGTGAAGAGCACTTCGTCTGTGCCGTTATGTTATGCCCTGCTGTGCTGTCGCTGTTAAAGGTGTCCCATTAGTGAACCATGGCAAATTACCTCATTCTCGCTTCCCAGGAGCGAAGTTACAAGCCGCCTCGTCGGAGACCCTCGCTTTACCCAGGAAGTGAGTCCCAATTGTGTGCGCGCTGGGGGCGGGAGGTGCCTGAGAGTTTGACCGACAGTTAACAAAACCAATAGGAGCGAAGAACAAGATATCACGAGCCGCCCACCACCAATACGCGAGCCAGTAAAAATAAAGTTGTTTTTTTTCTTACACTTAACTAGCCGATGCTGAGGAAACCAGTTAAATGCCCGGTCGGCGTCCTCCGCCCTTCGAGCGACCGCCTGCCCCATTTCATGTCCGCCGACGAAATGCTTTTCTTCTGCGGTCCAACTTGTCCTTGTTTTGGTCCTCTCGCGAGAAATAACTCCGGGAGCCAAGTGCGCAGACACAGGCCGCATGTTGGGGAGCATGCAGCGAGGGGGGTGCTGTTCACAGCAACGAATTGTATTTGCGTGAAAGTGGAAAGGTGCATTTAAATACGAAGCTGCTGTCTGAAACATCCTTCCATACATGGACGTAGTATTGCTGTATTAGTTTCTTGTAAAGTGTCGGTTTCTTCCCCAAATTGCATGTCGTGGTGTTTCGACTGCAATGTCCGGTTTGATTCATACCTAATTACCTGGCAAGGTTAATTTTCTACATTCGCCCCAATAATTTTTTTTCATTTATTGTATGATTTTGAATCCTATTATGCAGATGACAATCACAACAGCATTTGTGTGGAAAGCTGCATCAGCAAAATATCCATAGGACAAAATAGAAGTGTAAAATAGAGAGCCGTAAGGCTGATTTTAAAAAAGTCATTAAAACAGAATCCAGTTTAGCGTTGGCCACAATCATGCAGGTCTATTTCAAACAATATTTTAAACGTAAGTTTCTCAAATAAATCTCAAACTTTAGTGAAGAGAATCAGTTTTCCTTCCTTGAGCCAATATCTTGGCTTGGATTGCTAACTTCCACCTGAAAGTCTGCCCGAAAAAGTACTCTGTGCCACAACACAACTCTAGTATCACAGAAGCCTGGGCTTCCTCTCGAGTACTACCTGGGATGTGATTCTCCATTTGTGTCCAACATAGCTTTGGTGGAAATCCCATTCTTCCTTCCTCCCAATGTTTTTAACCCAGTGGACCAGGATATGATTAATAAGTGTTGAAAGAAAAAAAACTTAGAAAACCACAGCAAGTCAGTGCCAATGATTTCCAGGTATTCCCCAGAATGCATCATCCCAACTCTTCCAGAACACTCTACATACTGGGGCTGTACTCTACTATAAAAATATCTTTTGATTTAGCTGGACTACCTGCCGTAAATGTACAACCCCTGCACTGGCATAGAGGGCTAGGCATAGGCAGAGCCCAATGCTCCCTCCAGAACTTCCACGCAATCAAGAGTGGCGTGTGCAGCACTGCATGGATATTTGAATGACCGAGCACCCCAGGGGACAGCCAAGGCCAAATTACAGTCCAGTCCTTTACTACTTAGTGGATGTGTCAGTATATATCACTTTATGAACATAACCTCATGGGAAAATCTCATCCTGCTTTAAAACTGCATTTCTGTAAGCTTTCAATTTTAACTTCAGATACAGTGGAAGAAGCTGCTACATAAATACACAAGGACATTCTGAGCTGACCACCACTGATATGTGAAGCAGTGCAAATAAAGTTACACGTAACAAAGTTACTAAAAACGTCTTATTTGCATATATGATGCAAAATACTCTTCATGGACATAATGGTCAGACAGCAGGGTTTTTGTCATATTTATTCGCTACAGACTCCAAGCCCAAGAGTTCAGCAGAAATGGTTCTAGTTCTTGTATGCGCGGCTGGCTCTGCGGCCACGAGCGCGCTCAAACTTCCGGCCCTTGGAGCGGACGTATGGCCTGCGGACGGCAGCAGAGTGTTAACAAAATGCAAGCAGAACACCACCAATATTAAGTCAAACTCGTATCACAATATTCTGACATGCAGTGACATGAAGCAGTGTGAGACAACGTGACAGTCGGGGAAAACGACAAACAGGACACTCACTTGGTGTTGCTGTGGGGTGTTCCAGGTGCCTTCCCGAAATGCCTGTACACCTCCCTGCTCTTCCGTGGTCCTGGAACAGGCATACATTTTCATTAGGCAAAACATGCTAACTGCATGGCATCATTAGACTTACAAGTAGATGACAAGCAGGACGGCGTACCTAAAGCCTTTAAAGCTGACACAAATACCACCCACCACTTTATGAAAAACAGACACGGCTATCAAATTGCAAATAAATTTTTCAAAGTTCTTCCACAAATACAATTCTTCCAACACAGCTGTGCTGATAGTCATGTCATCTCAGGAGAGCAACAGAGCCAATTAAAAACAGTGACAAAGTGAAAAAACAACTGGCTAACTTTACTGCCGGTTGGCCAGGCATAGGTTCAAGCGGCAGCAGAGGCTGGGACATGCAGAAAATCCAATGAGCCAATATAGTAAGAACATCCCAATGCTTCCACTTATAAAGGTCAAAGTTAGTGTCCAGTAGGGCAGCTTAGCCAGAGTTTTCCAAACTAAGAGAGTACCCCCTCCAGTCCTACATCAGAGCTCACCAAACAATAACGGTACTTCATCACATCCAGTCATCCACAAATGCCAGTGAACGGTACCGGTATCCAAAGCCTCACCTGAAAGCAGCACGGTGCCCTGTCCTTTAGGAGCAGACAGGGCTAGCTGGTCAAAGGTCATGACCTGTCCCCCAGACTTCATGATCCTACGGCGAGCCCTATCTGTCACTCTCAAGGCACACACCTGAGAGCAAGGGAGACGGGGGAGGGGCATTAGAACTGGGGTATGATGTTTCACCACATCAGTAGTCAGTATGTCTTATGCTAGTCTTCATAAAAAAAAATAATGCAATATGCACTGTACAATTCATGCGATTATTACTGTTTTAACAACATAAATTTGAGATGGGACTATGGATTCTGTATATTAGGCCCGTCATGAATTATATACCATGGAGACCTTGAGACAACCCAGAAAATCAATCAGGCACATCAGTAAATTAACACAAAAATCCACTGGAATTTAGTGATCAAATTGCTGATGGAGTCATCTGCATAACAGGTTGACTAATTGTTGCAGTTCACTGTTGCAAAAGAGATTAAGCCCATCTCTCACTCACACACAAACACACATGCTGGGGAAATCTGAAAATAACACCACACTGTACCTTGAGTTTGGGGATATCCTGGATTCTGACATCATCAGTTATTGTTCCCACGACAACAGCGGTTTTGTTATCACGGCCTGGTAGCTTCATCTTACGAATCTAAGAAAGAAGAAAGTAAAATGGAATGATATAGAAGGGTAAAGGATGGAAAGAATGCAATGAAATCCCAAACCGCACCTACAGTACAAGTCAAAAGTGTGGACAGCTACTGAAAATCATGTTTTTCAACACGATAATGACCCTAAGCACACATTCAGGTTATGTAGTATGTTCTGTAACCAAAGATAGAGACTCGGTGCCACGACAGATGACCTGGCCCCCACCATCCCCCCACAAAAGAGGTAGCCAACTTGTGCCCTGAACTTGTGGAAACTGCTTCAGGCCTGTTGGAGAAGCATTCCAGGTGGCTACATCTGGAAGCTGGTTGAAAGATTGCCAAGAGTCTGCAATCCTGCTATCGAACAAAAAGGGGACTATTCTGAAGTGTCTACAATTTCAGAAAATCAAGATGCTGAACACTTCTCTTATTTGTTGCAATATTTGACATCATTGCCCAGAGGCCTTTTATGATAAGATGAATGGTATAGCTAAAATAGACAGATCCTTTAAACACAGGTGCATGCAGACTTTTAAAATTGCTACACATCATGTTATAAGCTAAGGAGAATTTCCACATCAGGGTCATACGTACCAGGCGGGACAGGGAGAGCGGCGGTCGGTTGGTCTTGCTCATGAAGAGCCTCTTCAGGACAACCTTGTTGAAAGGGGCAGTGGAGCGACGAGCCAGAAACCTGTACAGCTGCAGGGTGAAGGCGGCACACAGTCAGGTGTTACTTTCTATTCCTTCCCATTTTCCTCTAAATGCAGACACTTAAAAATATCATGACACCACCAAATTGGGTCGCCCCCTGGACGTTCTCACCTTAACCAGGAGCCTCAGGTAGATATCCTGGCTCTTGGGCTCCTTCCTGTGAACCTTGCGGTCCTTATTGTGCCTGATATCAACTCCCTGAAAGACAGTGAGTGTTAAAACTCGCAAACAAAATTAACTTACGGGTCTAAGATTTCAAAACATAAAATCCTTAAGCATTAGACATATTTATGTTTTATATTATCACCACTTACATCTTATTTACTCACAATGACAGTGACAATATATAAGACAACAGTACTTCCACAACAAGAACCATAACGAGGAAGCGTTAGCACAACTTAGAGGCAAGTACATTACGGAAGGATAGATGTTAGCTGTCTGCCAGTGATCGTATTACTGTAAAATAGCTGTCCATGGAAAAAAACTTAAGTCACACGAATTAAATAAATCGCGCTAAAATGGTCTTGGCCAATATTTAGTTACCCAGAGCGACTAAATCTTGCATACAAGTACAACAACAAGGCTAACATAAGGCCATGCGTAAAACAACCGGCCTTAATATTTCAGCTGAAATGGCAGCCACATATAACCAGAGGCAGGCAACCAACCGACACTCAACCCAAAGAATTTGCTGGTGTAACTGTAAACGGGTTTTATAAGAAATACCCAGAACTCACATTAATTTGTATTTCATCTGACGCTACGTTTACAGAGCGGTACGAGCGAAACCCCACATTCTGTTAGCAGCCTTCTGAAGTTTTTGCAGTTTATCTCATCATACATGCAGATAATACGAATGTATTTTTTAACATAAAACTCTACAAAGCCTCAACTTGGGCACGTGGGGAGAATATTTCACAGTTAAAGACCGATGGATGTGGATTTTCAATAGACTATTGCGTGAACAAAGCTAGGCACCTACCATCTTGGACACGACGAAAAGGGAAAAGGAGCGAATGTGTTCTCGCGATAAGCGAAAGAAGTGTGGCTTGGACGCTGCCTTGTGTCATGTGACTCCAGTGTTCTTTCTGATTGGGTGATCCTGGATGCACCATATTTATTGTGGGCAAAACCGAAAGCCGGAGTGTGTGCTGTTCAAGAAAGAGTCGAGAGGGTATGGCTGCAGTTCGTGCTCTCTCTACGGGATGAACGTGCTGCTTCTGATAATGCCGAAGCTTTGGTCAATCAATTGATTTGTTTTGAAATTGACTAATTATAGACTTCTTCCAGAATAGCGGGGATGGTTTGTATTATTATTAGTATTGTCATCATAAAAATAACTATGTTTACGCGCTGGATTACAAGCGGGTTAAATCTATTTAAAAAAAATATGATAATAGCATCGTGCAACAGGAGGCATGTCGCAAATATAAGGCTGGCGATTTATATTTCAACTTAGATAGTTACATTATGCATAAAATATTCCTGAACTTCACCTACAACACTTATGAGAAACCAACAGCATCATACCAATAGGCTTGTAGGCCCCCAGCGCTGTAGATATGTGCGTTTCTTCTTAAATCCAAATGTGTGGTTAAGTGGACTGTTGGCTTGAAATTCCCCATAATGTGTGAGCGGGTATGTTTTGCAATGGACTGCTTTCCCGTGTGGTGTGTCCCCCAGCCCTGTGCCCTATGCTCCGTACGGTACACTCCAAGCCCAATGACAACCCTGATGAGCATAAGCACTTAAAAGATGGACAAATAGACATGTTAGCATATGTTAGTATTATACTACAAATTCACTTTAATGAAATGATTCTACAATTAATGTTTTGCCACAAGGTATATATTTAAACACACAATATGATAGAATTGTCTTAACTAAAAATGAATAAAGGAGTATTAATGAAGAGCTCAGACAGGAATGGGGTCCACAAATGTCAGCATTCAGCCTCTTTGCTGTCGAAAATGACAGAGAAAAACTGTCCAGATGAGGGCGACACCTCCTACAAACACTGTCCGTGCCACTGGTGGGACCAAGGAGAAGTTCACTACCTGGAAGGAAAAGAAAGATCTGCAATGTTATCTGGTGGAATCAGCTACAATATGTCCCAAAACCCAGGTTTCATACTGTACCTGCATTGTGGACCAGTAAACCACTCCAGTCTTGAGAAAGAAAAAGAGGGACCATCATTAATACTGGTCATTATTAAATGACTTATGGTTATTGCGATAGCCCTTTAAAGTCTCTCTCCCACTTTCTGAGCATCACCTTGTAGGAAGTCCAGAACTTCTCTCGCCAGTCTTCAAACAGCTCCTGTCTTCCCTCCAAGGCACTCAGCCCTACGAGAGACACAACAGTATGACAAAAGCAGCTGAGACTATGAAAACAGACTGAAATTATGCATGGCTAACCACAGACAAAGTCTCCCACATTAATCAGCTCCATCTTCTGCAGATATATTTACCAATGTAGAAGACAGTGATTGTTGCAGGAGCTGCAATCACTTGATCTAGCAGCACTTTCACTGATACCCTTTTGACTGCTGTCNGAAGACACTGATTGCATATATATGGCTAACTGTAGAGGAAATCTCCCACACTAAAAGGCTCTGTCTTATTTAGATATATTTACCAATGTAGAAGACAGTGATTGTTGCAGGAGCTGCAATCACTTGATCTAGCAGCACTTTCACTGATACCCTTTTGACTGCTGTCCCAGGCAGCATCCTTTCCAAGCCTTTCAGCCAATGGTAGTTGAAATTGGCATGAAAAGAAAATCCAACAAGAGCCACCCGGGCCGTCTGGTCCCAGTTAACACCAGACCACGTCCCAGATTTCATTTTTGATGAGGATTCAATCTCCTTTGAGATTAGGTTTGCCTTTCCAAGATTACCAGTTTCACTCTGTTCTGACTCCAGTCCTTTTTGCGGTTCAGGTGAGGAATCCGTCTTCTGCTTTAATTTTATGTCTGGTGTTACGTTTCTGCTCTCACTTGCTTCATTTGCAATCCGTTGATGTTGACCTGACGGTGTGATATCTGCACCTACTCGCTTCTGGTCAAGCACACTCTGTTGGATGAGGTCTGCAGTGGCGAATAAGGCCGTGTATCCTATCACGTTGGTGACGTAAGTATGGGACCTGAACATGGACCAGACTCTGTTCATCACGACTGCTTCTGAGACAGAATGATTCAAGAGATGGAGAAAAGCAATAAATACAAGAGAGACATTATGCCAAAGGATAAAAACACATATGGAGGCAATACTTTTCGAGGTAGTAAAATCAGATGAGTGTTTCATATTTTACATTCCATTGCTAATGAAAAAAACGAATTGATGCATTATCCTATGGAAATATTATTATAAGGAAAGTTCTTAGATCTCTTGAATACAAGAGAACAAATTCATAAAGAGAATTTAATAGATATAGGGTTCATTGAGTACTGATAAATATTTAAAGTAATTGGAAATGTAAGTAAGTGAAATCTTGGTATAGCATTTAGCAGTTGCACTCTGATTACCCTAGAAATAGTTTTGAAACGTACCTTAGTACTCTGAGTGCACATTTGCCGGTGGAGAAAGCACAAGGTGAAGGTACACTATCATATACCCTCACTGGCTCTGCTGAACAAATTGGGGTGGAGTCTTTTGGTGCCGCTAGCCAGTAAGAAACCTCTTTGGTGCCAAGAATCTGCAGGCCAAAGTTCAATGTTCAAGAACACATGTGACACCATTGATCTATCAGCCACTTTTAGATTTAATCATAAAGATGTGTGAGTGAATACATAGTGACTGTAAGAGGGGCATAATTGATACAGAGCTTATATGGACATATAAAGCACTATTTTAAGTATACTATATTTAATGTTATCCCCAATATCACAAAAATACATGCATTTTTTACAGTGTTTCATTTGGAGCGCAGAAGTTTTTCCTGGGAATTTTATGGCGCTCTAGACTAAATAAACTAGGAGAAAACAGTCCATCTCAAATGAATAAATTATTATCCATCCAATTTCCATATTTGCCCCAGGCACATCACCAGAGAACAATATATTATGTTACTCACCGCAGTCAAGACCAAATCAGAGATCACCAACTGAATTAAACATGCATTCTGCAAGTGTGTATGAATGAAACGAATTGAAGTCACAGTCCAGTTGCTTTGCTCCTTAGCCACATGTCGGCTTGTGCTAAATTTAGGCAGCTTCCATTGCCGCCAGCTCCTCCCTCGGCTACCATTAGCAATCTGCTAGTTTATTAGCAATCTGCTAGTTTCATGCTGTCGTTGTCCTGTATCTGTTCAGGTTAGTTATTTTGTTAATGATAATTGATGGGCACATCTATTCTGTGTGGAAAAACACAGAATAATTGTTTGCCTTGAACAATGTTCAGTCTTTTTATTCCTATTCTTACAAAAGCCCTACAAAAGAAATCAGATTCATAATACAAGCTCTTCAAGACACCAATGGGCCTATTCATTTATATAACTTAATTGACATTTAAAGGGGGCTCTGGGATGTGTCTATATAGACATCTGCAATTTCTGAGTAGCAACAGGTTGAACTCTCAGACAGGAGAATGTGATAATTAGGGCAGAGTTTAAGTTGATCAATTAAAGGCTTGTTAGAAGCTCAAAGGACACGCTTCTGCCGCTGACGCTTAACAAGCTGTCTTTAGTCTGCTTACAAAAGAGATGAAGCCTGGGTATCTGTACCAGTTGACTTTTCAAAAATAATTGCTTTTATATGCTTCCTCTATTGCTTTCCCCCTCTCAGTCTCTCAGTTCATCCTACAAACCTCTGTTTTGTCATCCACAAATCTGTTTTCTTAACCTTTGGCAAGTCCCACCTCCTTTTAAATTCTCCTCTTTCAACCACCCATCCCATCAGTGTCTCCACCAGTGTCATTTCTGGGGTCCGAAGAGAGAGAAGACCCAGGTCTAAGGTGAGTGAAGAGATGCCTTAACCTGTAAAATGTCTGTCTTAGGACTTCAAAGTGTTATAACGCCCTACTTGAGATTAAGCTAGGGTGTTAAATCTGTGCAGTTTGATGAATAAATAAAATAGGTTTGGGTGATTAAATCTTAATATGGGGGATGTTAAGTTTTCATTACGGCTGCAACATGAGCTTGTGTATGAGAATGCAAAATAATCAGGAGGGCTTTGTCACACAGTCAGGAGAATGATAAAGAGCGCTCTTACCATGCAGAGCATACAGAAATGCATTATTTAGGCCTGTAAGTAAATGAGGTGAATAAATGCATTCAGTACTGAGAAGTTTAATATTACAGCAAGGGCAGGAAAGAACAGGACAAGGAGAGAGAGACTGAGAACAATGATTACTTAGGGTACCTTTGTTAGATTAGAAAAATGTATATGGCACTGGTCCTATGACTGGATAGCTCTTACTTTTTTTAAGGTAAAATGTACATGGTTTTGGTATAAAATATAGATGCGATTGATGCTATATGTGATTAAATTGAATGCTAGAATTATATCTACCATTTTTAGAAGACAACTGATAGTTCTGATATTCTTAATGGTCTCCCTCCATCTGTGTGCTTTGCTTTCTCCCTGTGCTAACTGTTACTTTGTCTAGTCTTAGTTTTGAACTTTACACACAAATTACCCCCCATCCTCCTTCCCTGTCTATCTTCATCTGTCCTGTAGTCATGCGTCCATCCAGTTCTTTGACGTGTGAGCCGGGTGCGGAGAGAGTAATCCCATGGGGCCGTGACCTCTTTACATTTGTGACATCAGCAGCCGGTCACATGATGAGGACACTTCAGAAGCCACGAAAAAACCGGCCGTCAAAGCGACAAGTTAATCATCGGCGGTTTTTGCACAACATGATACAGAGGCATGTGAAACTGCGACGTCTGCATTACAAAATCCAGAACCAAGGGCACCGTGAATCATTCTGACGTTTAATCTCTTCCTTTCAGGAAATTTGCAGAAATCAAGGCTGCCAACCACCAGCTTGCATCTGCTATTTTCTCAAGGGACAACGAGGATGAACAGAGCCTGTCTCTGTGTCAGGTGCTAAAATCCAACCAATCAGATGAAACCACCAAAGAAGGTACATCTTTTAAAATTCTCTATACAAAAGCATCACATGCTGCTAGATCTTTAATGTTCTTCTATGATTCACTCAATTTCCCTTCCACACAGAATCCAGCAATGTGACTTTGTGCCTGCCTGTTCTATCTCTCGATGATCCTAACCCCGAGACCATCACAGTGGAGCAAAATGGCCTGTGGACGATCAGCAGTCACTCGCATGAACATGATTTCGGCACTGCAAATAGGAATTCAGAGACAGCAACGAACCCTCTAACCTTACCGAAGAAAAACTTGGGGAGAAGGGAAGAGGTTGGAGAAGCCATATTTGGGGAACTCAGCTCATCTAAACAGCACAATGACTTTGAATCCTGCTTTGACTTTGAAGTGGACCCCATGAAAATTGACTTGATGAGATTCAGTGAAACGTTATTTGGTGAAAATGACAAGCAGGAAAATGTTCAAAACTGCAATAGAAGCCAGGCCACCCCAAACTTACAGCAAGCAGAGGCTGATGCTCAGTGCCCGTGTATGGATGGCCCCTTCCTCCGAGTCCCACCAGCTTTCCATTCGGATGGACAGTCACTGGCTTCCTGTGATTTCATGATGCCCAGCATCACTGATCCCCACTGTTCCAATACTGATCTAAACAACATCATGGAATCCACTCAGTCACACATACTAGACAATTCTGGCGTGATGGACAGCAACAGAAGTGAGGAAGACTGTATGGATTTGCAGTCCCTTTCAGTATCATTTTGGGAAGCTGGGGATGAAGGTGCAGAAAGCTGCAAGCTGAATTTTAGCAGTGCATTTGTAACCTACGGCAACAGTGGCAGCCTTGATGCCATCAAAAACCAGCAGTTCAACAATCATCCCATTGCTCTTAGTACAGATGTGGGACAGTCAAACTGCTCGAGATATGATAATATGGAGAGCATCCATAGAGACTCCAGATCTACATGTGATCCACATCTGGACACCCTTAGCAACTCAAGTTATCACATAGATAGTAGAAAACCCTGTAAACCAAATTATTGCAGCAAGAAAAAGATGGACCTTGCGATCCCATATAATGAAAGATACAATGCAGATACTTTCACAACTGTGTGCCCTAATCTTGCCAGCCTTGACCTAATCAGAAGGAACACAGGAGGTGAGAATGATGCTGGCAGAGACCTGAGTAAGTTGAGATCCTGCAGCTATGAACTGGTAAGATCTGGCACCAGCTCCATGTTGTATGACGATGATGCAGAACAAAATGCTCTGAAGGAGCTTAGATTAGATGGCATCTCCACACTAGAAGACAATGCCCTGTGTTACAAGAGCTACACTTCAGGTTATCAGAGAAAACCCACTGGCTTTGTCCATACGTTTTCCAATTCGTGTCACAGTCATCAAGGAGCCTCAGAGTGCATACAAAGGGATTCAGAACAGCAGGCTGGGCTGCAGGGATCAGGATATTGGAAACCCATGTCAGACATCCCAGAAAGCCATCTGCATAACCATTGTGGTGCTCTGAATTCAGCGTCCATCCAGAACTCGTGCGGAGCTCACATGAATCAGAACCTCTTTACAGGGGTAGCCAGAGCTTTCCCAGCCTCAAACGCAAAAAGACACCTTAAGTGTATATTAACCCCGGCTCTAGAAGAGGACTGGTTATTTGATGAGATTGAGTTAAAATGACAGGCGGGTTAGGGTTATCAGTTTAACATATGCATGGAACTTTATACCTGCCTTGTATATTAAATATTTTGTGCCTAGTGATGGACAAAATGACGCTTCATGAACCATTTGCTGTATTTTTTGACCCCAGTAGATGGTCATCTCTGTTCAAAAAAGGGCACTTTCATGCCCCATAGCAAATCAAAAAATACAGCAAATGGTTCATGAAGCGTCATTTTGTCAATCACTAAATATGAGTGATTATAAGAATTTACAGTGAAAAAAGAAAAATGATGACATCCTCAGTTTGTACTTCAGAGGTTCAGTTTTGTTCATGTTTGTGATATAACATGAGCCCATGTCCTTAAAATAATGCTGCAAATGAATTCAGCAAATCAAAACCTTTATCTGAAATTATGACACACTCACAGAAAACTGTCCTTTCTTAAATGTTCAGATCTGTTAAGCTTGGCTAAATATTGCAGTGTTTGTTCCAATATATTTATTTATTAAAACAGGATTCTTTTTTGGAATATCATGTATGGTGATGTGGAAAAATGCATGATGCATTTCGTTCTGGGCACCCCCATCTGTGATCAATGAATTAAATCTCACTAAGAATTCCAAACTGACAACATATATTAAAATTCGGGTCAGATCTAGTTAGATATGATTTAACAGCAAATAAACAAAACAACCAGCAATTATAAAAATTCAAGTTTCACAGAAGCAAAAAAAGCACCAGTTTTGTTACATACAAGGTTGGTTCTCTACTTCTTATCCCACAGGTCAGTCTGCGATAAGGGCTCTGTTGTCACATTTGTTAGAAATCAAATGAGTACAAACCAGAATATAAAATTAATTAGATTGATGTTTAATAAAACATAAAACAATATCTGATGCACATCAGAAGTATAGAAGTATCTGGAAATCAAAAATGTTTTATTAGGACAAAGGGTTTAGAATTTAATGAGAATTTGTAAGCATATGAATTCATAAAACAAACAGTTGGCTTGCAGAGCACGGCTGAAAGCCAAACACGCCGGAGAGGGTGAACGGCTGGATTTTGTTGCCATCTACTGGAATATAAAGTGCACATTTACTAGAAACATTATTTCATGTTATGTCCGTGTCGTCGTTCAAGTTCAAATAAATATTCATAAAGGTACACAGGAGAAACATTGCAATTTGTAAAATGAATTAAAAGAGGAATACTTTTTGAATAATTTTCCACATGAACCCTCTCCCAAAATTTTTTACACAGAAAGTAAACAGAGTGCCACAGAATAAGTAAAACGCTGAGAGCATTCCAAGTAAGCCTAAATCACGGTAATAATACCGAAGCACCATCCTTGTACGATAAGTTAACTGCAAAGTTGCAATGAGTCGTGCCCGTTATATAAGGGCACAGTATATACATCCCCAGGATATTCCCTCTGTTTCTTAGAGGGGGTGTGAGGTTAATCTGGTTTTTTAAAAACGTTCTGACTGCACCCCAGTTATGCTTGCAATACAACGTGAAAGACGTAGAGGGGTGGCTCTCTCTCTCTCTGTCTGTCCATACAATCGGTGACAGAAGGAGGATCTGTACAACATAAATAATATAACGGAGAAGGATTTGGGGGTGGGGTGGGGTAAAAAATGCTGAATTTGAGACTATGAAAATGATCTGCAAATGGATTAAGCCAGTTAGGTGAATTATGATCGTTTGCCATGGACGTAAATTCTGACTGGGGAGCTAATTAAGAAACTTTTTTATATACTGAAACCTTTCTTAAGATTCATTGTAGGTTTCTTCGCTATATATATTTACTGCATATTAGAACAGCTGAAACCCTGATTAATACATTTCATCAAACAGTAAATATCTGCTTCAAACACTACTCGGTTTGTCATGTACCACTTGTATAAAGTTACAGAAATACGACGTAGAGCACTTCAGATGACCTAAAAAATGTCTGAGGCGAAAACCTCCAGATACCAGAGGAAGTACATTTTTACCCTTCACGTCACTCTTGGAAATGCTTTTCATTATTTGCTAAATTTGGTTGTATTAAATATATCCTAAATTTTGATAACGTAAATATTCGCTCCATTTGGAAAACACTGAGCGTCCATTAACAAACACTTTACACAACCACTAAAATAGACATCGCACAATATTTCCGCTGTTGAAATGCTGCCAGTGGTTCTGATACGAGTATACTGAGAAAGATCAGCAGTAAAAATGGAGGTTCTCTCATTTCCCGCCTTTTCTGGATTAAGACTATTTTAAATCTTCCAGTTTTTTCTGTAGTCTGGCCTTCAGAAAAAACAGCGCTAATATATTAACCTACGACTTTATGTCACCCAAAGCGGCTTGGTCAGTGCAATTATCTTTAATATGCATTTCAAACAGGACTCCATTCTCCTAAGCGCTCAGACCCCTAAAGCGCTTTCCTAGAGTTTCTGGTCAAAAATCAAGGCTAAAGACCAGGTGAAATATGAGATCACCATGACTGTGTTTGAGAAGAAACACCTGTACTGTATGAAGGCAAACAACATACTAACCAGTAAATAAAGGAGACGATCAGCTGTGACATTAATATTTCAACTGTAACTGAACCAGTGTAACAAAAGTGCTAAGCAAGGAAAGCCTGTTTATATAGTAACAAAAGTAACAATATAACAAAAGTGCTAAGTAAGCAAAGTGTGTTTACCTAGATGCATGTTATCTATCACATAAGAGAGCTTCATGTCAGCACCTGGACACAGAGCACGGCACTACACAGAGAAGGAATTCACCTGTTAAAATCTCATTAAAACAACCTACATGTGCATCATGAAAGTGTTTTTAATTCTGATCAGCTTGTAAACCATGAGTCTATCTACACACTGCAGTTTCACGTTGGTCTTCACTGTAATCCACAGGCCTCATTACGCAGACTATGTAGGGTTAGGCATTTTCCTCCAAAACACTTATATATATATATATATATATATATATATATATATATATGTGTGTGTGTGTGTGTGTAAATTGAGTCATTTTGTAAGAAACCATTAGATATAGTCAATAATTGAAAGAAATATGATTAAAATACTAGACTAATTATTGCAACAAAAAAAAAAACTGTTCCTGGTGGAAGATAAAACAGCGGACCAAGGTTGCATTTTTATGCTAGTGGTGAGATTCTCACATTAAAGTGTAGGTATTCTAAGAAAGGTTTACTTTCAGGTAAAATGTATTCAGGTCAACACTCAAAATGTTGCATTTCACACTGACTCATCCCTGCTCGCTCTCATCAAACCCTGGGTGAAGGACATCTACCTCAATCAGGGTGAGCGCATCTGAAGTGGTGACTTTACAGTACCCTGCTTTTTAGAATGTGAGCGAGTCAAAGCGGTTTTCATAAAAAAAGTACCAGAGCATATTAATATTATTACCGCAGGCAGTAAGGGTGCATCTCTTACTTGCAGAATCAGTGGGATTTTTCAACGTTTACAAATAAAGTTACCCGTCCTTCATTATTTTCCTTCGTTTCTGTCACCTTTGTTTTTGCAAGCTCATGCAAAATGCCTCAACCAAACCTGGCTTTTAAATAAAAAAAACACTTATTTTGAATAACCATCATGGTACACACACTGTCACATTAAGCAGGATATACTAAAAGAGATTTGCTAATTGGTTAGGCCTCCCAGTGTATACTGGGATCTTTTTTTCCCCCTTTCAAAATAAAAGTTCTTAGTCTGTCTCTCTCTCTCTCTCTCTCAGTGCAGCAGTTCTTCATTCTGATGTTTAATGTCCAGTCAGTCAGTGTAATGTGCCCTTCCTTCTGTCTGTCTGCTCCTGGAGATTTTCTTCTTTGCCTGATCTTCCCCCACACTCAGCACCGACGCCATGGGGGGCACCTTGAGTCAGTGAGTCGGTGGGTCCGTCCATTGGCCGTAGAGCACCCCCAGTGCCCCCCTTCACTCCGACTCTGTCAGGCCATACGGGAGCTGGGGCTCCAGGCTGTGCTCAGAGGGCGTAGGTGTGGCCGGGAGGCCGGTGGATGGGGAGGGGGAGGCGGGGGGCTCCTCAGAATCGGAGTTCTCTAGGGAGAGGTCGTCCACCAGCGGCCGACGGGCAGCACGCAGGGAGAGAGGGAGGGGGGCGCGTCTGTGGGGGGGACAGCCAACAGAGGAGTGCAGAGAGGGACACAGAGGAGAACGGACAGAACGATCAGTATGATGTCAGATTAGAAGCACAGCAAAGCAGACACAGCAGCGCTACTGCAGTCAGAACTACCAGCAGGAGACCTGAGGGTCCAAACCAGGGCACATTTCAGAGGCCGTCTCACTAATGACAGATGATTCTGCGGAAGCTGCCCGATGACCCCCCAGGCGGCATCTTAAAGCTTATCACAGTCAAACAGGCTGTGCGCCTAGAGCATGCGACTCAGCACCCGCTCACGAGGTGAGAGGGAACAGCCTGGGGCGCCAGCGGGCTGGACACTCTTTCGCCAACAAAGGGCAGAAGGGATCCTCGAGCACGGCACAGCACCAGGAGGCAGAAGCACGCGGACACACACACACACACACACACACACACACACGAGTGAGCAGCCAGACCTACTTCTCATCTCTCCGCTCTGTGGCGCTAAATGGGGCATGAGAAAGGGAGAGGGTCACAGACAGGCCGGGACGAGGCTCGCAGACGAGTACAAATGTTAAAATGATGCAGCATGACACTCAGACAAAGTGCAAAGATGGGACATAATAAAAAAAAACACCCAAAGCAATGACATGATGGTGTATGTTGGCCCTGTACGGCTTCGCTCTGAGATATTCCCACACTCCACGGGTAAAACACGTTGCAGACCAGGGCTGTGCGATATGGCAATATACAGCTGCAGAAAAAATTATGAGAACACAGCAGTACTTTTCGTTTCACTCATTTCTCAGTGTATGGGTGTCTATCTCTGAGTAATATACATTTTTTTTGCAAACTGCAGCCTGGCTCTTCCCTGTTTCTCATTAAATGAAGGGCTTCTTCCTTGCTTTATGGGACTTCAGTCCTGCTTCAAGGGAGCCTGATACAAACTGTCCTAGCCGTGCACTTCACACCTACACTTGTTTCCCATTCCTCTTGAAGACCCATTGATATCATCCTCTAATTCATAAAGCACTGGCAGATGAGTTGACGGTCATCTCTGGCATTAGAACGTTACTTCTGCCCTCTACATGGCCGGTTTCTGGTCATTCCCAGTATCTCCTGCTTCACCTTGTTCTTGTGTGCTGCCGCCTTAGAACTTTTGCACCTGGAAGCAACCTGCTGCTCGGCGCAGCCTTCTGCCAGCAGAACCATGCTCAAGCATTTAAAAATGCAGGTTTGTTTAAAAATATAGAGTGGTGTCAATTTTTTACGCAGCTGTATATCGTGTGACGATAGAGACTTGTCTATCATGTATGTTACGCTGTTTCGTTTATATCATTGTGTCACAAATCACACTCTTTATGACAATATTTAAGTCCTTTGGAAATCAGGCCTGTTACTGCCGGGTCCGTACCACCTGCCTGATGTGTGCCTCACACATTGGTCTATGCATGTGCAGCATTCGTAAACACATATTTACAGCAAGCTACATTTACAACAAGCTACAGGGGTCGCTTTATTGTTTAATGAGAACTAGCATTAATGATCACGCTGACTGAAAAACATCAGGTTTTCTTTGCTTGTCATTTTAGGTGTTCGAGCCATGCGTATATATCCAGATTTTTGATCAACACTATTACCTAAATATCCCATATCTGAAATACTAATTTATATCTCCATCAGGTGAAATGTCTGCTATCCAGCCCCATGGTATTTTGGTATACTTATAGCTTTGGATCTCTCTGAACTGAAATATGAAATTTGGTGTATTTTCCGTTTGTTGCAGTCATATTTATATCACTCCAAATCAGTGGGATCAGAAAAACAAATGGATATCATAAATAGCATTTCTCTACTCATTTGTCCTGTTGGCATAAGTTACTGATTTTGCTACCTGCATAATAGTGGCAGCCATCATGGACATATTCGGTCACCCCCCCGGGACTGGGGTGCTTAACGAGACCCATAAACACGCACTCAGACACAACTGCAGGTGCTATGCAGAAGGTGTATTAAACAGATGGAGAACACAATCCAAAATATGAACATCTGGCTGAATATTCCATTCTGGGCTGGTGGAGATGGCTCACAATATAAACCGGATGTCATAAAAAGAAATATTAACAGGATCAAGTTGGGTCGTGAAAATGTGGTGAAATTAAGTGGTACAAATCGTATAATATGCCGTAAAGTGTGATGCTGCACATGCAGTCGAGCAAGGTACAAATCAGGCTGGGGGTACAGATTGTACTTAACAAATTATGTCACAGACATACAAACTGTCCCCACAACAGACTGATACCACAGCCTTGAACAGTGTTGTTTACTAACACGCCCACATACATAACCACACCCACTGACAGGGCCATATACATAACCACACCCACTGACAGACCCATATACATAACCACACCCACTGACAGACCCATATACATAACCATGCCCACTGACAGACCAACATACATAACCACACCCACTGACAGGTCCATATACATAACCACACCCACTGACAGACCTATATACATAACCATGCCCACTGACACACCCACATACATAACCACACCCACTGGCATCCATATGCATAACCACACCCACTTACACGCCCACACATATAACCACACCCAGTGATACGCCCACATACATAACCACACCCACTGACATGGCCATTTACATAACCAAACCAACTGACACGCTCATATACATCACTACACCCGCTGACATGCTCACATAATAACCACCCCCACTGACACATCCATATACATAACCACGCCCACTGACACATCCATATACATAACCACGCCCACTGACATGTCCATATACAAAACCACGCCCACGGACACACCCATATACATCACCACACCCAGTGATACACCCACATACATAACCACACCCACATACATAACCACACCCGCTGACATGCTCACATACATAACCACCCCCACTGACACATCCATATACATAACCACGCCCACTGACATGTCCATCTACATAACCATGCCCACGGACACACCCATATACATCACCACACCCAGTGATACACCCACATACATAACCACATCCACTGACATGGCCATTTACATAATCAAACCCACTGACACACCCATATACATCACTACACCCACTGACACACCCACATAGCCACGCCCACTGACACACCCATATACATAACCACACCCACGTCCTGTGTAAAATCACCTGAGTTGGTTGCGCAGGGCTGCGATCTCCCTGGTCATGCTCTGACTGCTGTCCGTCATTTCCTCCAGCTCCCGCTGCAGTTTGCGTCGCTGTGCATTGGTGCGTGAGTTCTCCTCCTCCACCTCCTCCAGTTGTCTCTTCAGCTGCCGGAGACGGCCCATGGACTTCTCCAGCTAATGGAGGGAAAGAGGGGAGATGAGAGAACCGTTCGTCCATAACTGACCGCCAAGAACGTGGTTGTGGTGTGAGACTAAGCCAAATGTCCTCGAAAAATAATTTTCAACAACATAAAAAAAGGACACCCCCGGTACCACAGACCTAAGCCTGGTGGCCACAGGCCCTACCTACCTGCTCCTTGTACTGGTCAGCATGTCTCCGCTCATCCTCCACCTGCATCAGTACCTCCTTCAACTTCTTCTCGGTCTTGCGCACCAGCTTGTTGGCAACTGCCCGCTCCCTGAGGTGGGAGTGGGGGAGGTGGGGTGAGGAGTGTCCAAGCTGAGGCCCATTCAAGACCTACCATGATAAACTGGCCCTCACAACTTCACCATCACCCCACTATCTGCCCCTCCATCTTCTTCTCTAACTATCCCTCTATCCACCCCTCCATTCACCTCACTTTTTCCCCACTCACTGTCTCTCCTGCTCCAGCTGCTCCTCCATGGCATCAATCTTGGCCTCCAGGGCGGCGACACTGAGTCTGTGTTTTCCTCGCAAGGCTCCCTCCATCTCCCCCAGTCGGACTTTCAGCTCCTTGTTCTGCCTCTCCAGCTGCTCCCGGGCGCTGTCACTCTTTTGCGTCAGGGTGCGCTCCCCGGCAAGCTGCACTGTCAGGGTCTCCACCTGCAGGGGGCAGCAGAGTTGATGTGGGGTGGACTGAGCTGGATGTAGACACAGCAGTGGAACATCCCAAACTTTAATGAAGATCTGATGTATGGGCCCTTGATTCAATCAGTATGAGCCACACCAGTTACTTTAGTGCACTGCAGCTACTCAAAGATCCAGACCAGGCAGGTGCCCATTAAGAAACACACTCCGCCTGCTGGGATGACCTTCTTTCAGGATCTGTCCGGGGTGTACACCAGCTTGGGAGAGGCTCCAGGCCCCCTTGACCAATATAAGTAGTTGGATGGATGGATGGATGGATGGATGGATAGACAGACAGTACCTGGAGGACAGTCTTCCTGTGCCGTTCCGCCAGCATCTCCGCATTGCTCTGCTCTTCCTCCAGCTCCTCCTCCAGCTGGGTCACTCTCACTTCCAGCCTCCGCTTCTCATCACACAGTGCGGATCTGCGGAGCCATTGAGATGAGGGGGTCAGCTGCACGGCACGGAAGGTGGGGCACAGAAGAGAGACAGAGGAAACCAGGTATGAGAACAGCAAGACTCACTTTCCAGTGGAGCTGTTGAGTATCTCATCAGCCATTTCGTCCCGCTCCTGCTGAGCCTGTCTCCTTATCCTCTCTGCGTTGGCCAGTTCCTGCGGAGAACACAAGGGGACACCAGTTCAGGATGGGTTTTAAGGGATGAATTAACCTCCCTGTTTTGATACCCTGAGGGAAGTACAGAACTCAGTCTATGCAACGCTGTACAATAACGTTTGACATCTAATCATATCTTTGCTGTGATTAAGTTCTAAATGTTTAGCGAAGAGAATGGGTATTACTTCATAGCCTGGTGACATTTGTGAAAATCATAACCATATAATTATTCATTAAAGATTATAAAGCATATTAACCTGACAAGTCAGATTGCGTATTTTTTCTTATGAATGATGACCTCTGACCTCCGTTAGCTGCAGTAGCTCCGCCTCCAGGGCCTGCAGCCGCTTCTCGCTGTCCTTAGATTGGGCGACCACCTCATCACGGGCCAGCTTCGTCTCGTCAAGTTCCCGCAGCACATCCTTCATCTGGGTCTGAAGGGGATCACAGCACACACATGTATACATGAATGTGATGTCGCCTGCGGTGGGTCTGTGGATGTGGTTATGTATGTGGGTGTATCTGTGCCATAATGCAAACATAAAAACTCACTGGCCCAAACAGTAGATGGAGGCAGGTTTACCTGCAAACGTCGCAGCTGCCTCTGCGCCTCCTCCCTGCCGCGAGTGGCCGCCTCCACCTGTGCCTCTGCCTCCTGTAGCTCCGCCTCCAGTTGCTTCTTGACGGATACAGCCTGCGCTCTCTGGCTGCGCTCCTCTTCCAGCTGTGACTCCAGCTCTCGGACCTGCAGGGCAATGGGTTGGCAGTGTTGAAGTCCCGCATGCCCAGATGCACAGGTTTTCAGGGGGCCTTGGTGGCCACACGCTCCTCCCATACCTGCTTGCTAAGTGCCCTCCTCTTCTCCTCGCCCTTCTCCTCCTTGCTGCTGATCTCCCTCTCGAACTGCGCCCTCAGGGCCTGCAGTGTCACCTCCAGCCTCAGCCTCGAGTTCTCTGCCTCGGCAAGCTCCTCCTCCAGCTCCTGGGTCTGCACTCGGAGGGACTGCGCCTCCGTTTCCAGGCTCCGACGAGACCGCTCCAGCTCATGGACCTGCCAGGGGAAAGACGACCGCCCCCCCCGTTATTGTTATTCTGGGGTTTGCAGAGGGGGAGGGGTTCTGCTCAACATCTCTCTGCACACAAAAGGGCCTCACATTCTTGCCCACGTCGTCCTGGGCATTTACGAGCTGCTCCATGTCGAGCCTCAGCTGCTTATTGACACGTTCCAGCTCCTCCTTCTGGTCAGTGGCCTCCTGCAGGGCGCGGGACAGGGACAGGGTGCGCGTCTCCTTCTCGCGGTTCTCTGCCTCCGCTCGGTCCCGCTCCTCAGCCAGCCGGGCGCTGACGGCTTTCTCATCCGCCAGGCACTGAGGGGGAGATCCATGGAACAGCCGTTTGGCCTGATCTGTTGTCACAGTGACCATCTCACTTTCAATCCCCACTGGCAGCCTCTGACTTCTTGTTCCCTCAGGTCTCACTTCCTGTCTGCAGTGCCACCTCCCTTCTTCCCTCTCTACTTCTCTTCCTCCTGCCCTCCCTCCCTCTGCCTGCCTCACCTGGTCGAACTTTTTCTGCCTCTTCTCCAGCATGGTGCAGTTCTGCCTCTCGCGTTGCAGGGCCACGGTCATGTCCTCAATCTCCTCACGGAGACGCTCCCGTTGCCGCTCCGCCCGGTCCTTCTCCTCCTCCCGCGTCCGCTCCCGCTGGCATGCGCCCTCCAGCTCCCGCTGCAGCTTTCGCCGGCATTCCTCTCCTGCCTCCGCCGCCGTGTTCACCTCATCTAGTTGCCGACGCAGCTCAGCCAGCTGCGGGGGCGTCGGGGGTCAGGGGTCAGGGGTCAGGTCCGGTCTTTAAGACAGGCATATGCTACAGGAAGGAACAACCAGGTATCCCCAACCCTAAAGCTAACCCCTAACCCTAATACTGTACTAGGTAAACTCAGTACAGCCATGCAGCGGCACTCAGGACGACCTGCTGCGTGTGAGTCTGGATCTGCCTGTTCAGCTCCTTCACTCGCTCCTCTTCCTCCTCCACTCTCTCCATCAGCCCGGCCCGCTCTTCCTCCAGCCCTCGCACCCGTGAGCCCAGGGCCAGCTTCTGCCGCGTCTCATCCTGCAGGAGCTCCTGCCGAGAGCAAGGGAGGTGTGCTTAGTGGTGAGGGGTGGCGGCGGCATAGGGGCAGTGGGAGCGTGGCCTGTACCTGGGCGTCGTGGAGCTGGCTCTCCAGGCTGCTGACCTCCTTACTGAGTCGCAGGGATTTGGACTCAGACGCGGAGAGAGAGGCGGACAGCGACTCTATTTCAGACTGTGGGTCGGAAACGAGAGGACAAGGTGGAGGACAAATGCAAGGAGGTTAATCCATGCAGTAGGAGACACTTAACCCCATTGCCCCCCCCCCCCGCAATGACGGTCACTCTAACGGAGGCACGGCCTCCATCTGGCTCTCCGCCCACACCTGCAGCTTGTGTAGCCGCTCCTCCCGCTCCTCCCGTTCCCGCTCGCTCTGCGCTAGCCGGGCGTTCAGCTCCTGCAGCTGGCCCTCCGCCCTCTTCCTGCCCCGCTCACTCTCCATCCTGCTGCCCTGCAGCGTCTTCAGCTCCCCACTCAGGCTGCTCCTCTCCTCCTCCAGGACTGCCTTGGCCTTCTCCAGCGACTGGCGTGACTGTAGGGGGCAACAAAAGACACTTCTGTCACCTTTATAGGCCCCACCTGCTGTCAAGTTTTAATAAACAACAAAACCTGAATTTTGTTTTGGCAGGGTCACATACAGTTGCAAGTGGCCCCTCTCCCACTCCTCCTCCGGCTCCCCCCTCACCCGCTTGCTGTTATCCAGCTGTTCCTGCAGCGAGTCGATGGCTGCACAGTGGCGCACGCGCAGCTCGGACAGCTGGGCCTCGTGACGCCGCGTCTCCTCCTCCAGGCAGCGCTGTAGCTCCCCCAGCTCCGCCTCCCTGCGGGACCTGTGGTAGGAGGGATGGGCATCCGGATAAGGCTATGCCCCCACATCCTGGGTCATACGCACGCAGACCTTGGAGGTGGCCCAGACCTCAGCTCCTGCTGGGCAGCCGTGGTGTCCAGTGTGTCCTCCAGCTCGGTCCGCAGAGCCTCCAGCTCCTCCCCCAGGTCGCGCCGCTGTTTCTCTGCTCTCTCCCTCATCCCCCGCTCATTCTCCACCTCTTCCTTGAGCTCTGACACCTGCGACATGGCTTCCCGCAGGGCTCTCTGTGCCTCTGCCCGTCGGGCCCCCTCCTCCTCTAGCCTGAAAGGAGACAGTGACAGGTTGGGGCATGTTTGGACCTTACCCCCAGGTGGCGCTGTCTTCCTGGCCACTCACCGGCCCTGCAGGGTAGTGATCTCCTTTTCCCGCTGGGTCAAACTCCCCCTCAGCTCAGCCGACAGGAGACCCAGCTCAGATAGCTGCTCCTGCGCCTCCACGGCCTCATTCTCCATCCTGCGCCTCCACTTCTCCTGCTCCATCCGGCCCTGCTCCTCCCGCTTCAGCCGCTCTGGAGAAACACAGAGAAGCTCACAGCAAGGAGCTCATGCTGACTGAATATGCCCCCTACTCAGTGGTGGAAAGTTGCACTCCAGCCGTACCCTCCAAATCGGCGATGACCGCTTCCTGCTTGTTCTTTAGTTTGTTCAGGCTCTTCACTTTCTCTTCCTCTTCTGTCAGCTGGTCTGTCACTTCGCTCAGTCGCTCCTCAAGCTGCTTTTTCTCCTGAGGGAGGGATGCCGGGGGGGGGGGGGTGGGTGAGGGCAGGGGGACCTTAACATGGCAGTACGCACAGTGAAATGCGGTTACTCTCCACACCTTGTTGAGCCGATCTCTATGCTCGCTGAGGTTCAGGGTCTCCGCCTCCAGACTCTTCACCTTTGTCTCCAGCGTTACCTTCTCCAGCAGGAGGCGCTGTCGGGCTGCCTCTTCCTCCTCCAGCTGCTCCTCCAGGTCCTGAAAGCAAGGCGAGAGTACAGGTAAAATGACACGTCGGAACAAGGAACAAATTTCAGACAGCAAAAAATTTTGAAATAGACTTCAAGTTTCTATTTCCATCATGCTTATTCAGTTATACAGAGCAGCCGCATCTCATTTTCTCGCCTGCTCCAATTACCTGAATGTTCTGCTGCAGCCGCTTCTTCTCATTGGTCAGCTGTACACCCCTCTCCTCCTCCTCCTCCAGGCGCCCCTCAAGTTCACCCAGCACTTCCTCCAATTCCTGTTTCCTACTGGCCAGCCTCGCTCTCATCTCCTCTGCCTCCGCAAAGAGCTCCGCCTCTGCCTGGAGCTGGTCTGCGAGCACTGCCTTCTCCTCAATCAGCTGGGGGTGGGCAGCCAATAGGGCATCGGCGGAGCTCCAAAAGTTTGACTATTAACAGCTTTTGACAAGACGCCGGGTGGTCCGTACCTGCTGATGTTTCCTCTCCAGGTCACCAAAGTCCTGCTCCACTTTGGACAGTTTGTCCTTCGCCTTCTGAAGCTCGGCCTCCTTAGCCTGGATCTCTTCATCCTGGCGTGTGACCTGCAGGAGGGGCTTCACCTGGGGACAGCCGAAGTGGACGAGGGACTAAGCTTCACAGATACTAATACAAATACAAATATGCATAGTGTATACTGTATAGGGGGGCAGAGGACCAGGGCACGAGAGGGTATCTGGGGTACCTTGGTGAAGAGTCGCCACCACTGCCAGTTCCTCAGCTTGAGGTAGGCAGCACAGTTCCTCTGCATGACCCTCAGGGCACTGAGCTGCTGCTGCTTTTTTAGGAACGCCCTGGGTGAGAATAAGGAGGTTGATGTTCAGGAAGCTCATCCCTCAACATGTTCATGAAACTCATATCCTCACTGTGTTCTAGAAGATCATTCCTCACAGTGTTCAGAAAGCTCAGCACTCAGCATGTTCAGGAAGCTAAGACCTCATTGTGTTCAGGGAGCAAAGACCTCATGGTGTTCAGGAAGCTCAGCCCCCTCCATGTACGTACAGCTCAACCCTCACTGTGTTCACAAAGTTGAGCATTCACTGTACTCAGAAAACTCAGCCCTCACAGTGTTCAGACAGCTCTGGTCTCATTGTGTTCAAACAGCTCAACTCTCACAGTGTTCAGGAAGCTCAGCTCTCACTGCTTTCAGACAGCTCTGCCCTTACTGCGTTCAAATAACTGTACGCTCAGTGTTCAGGAAGTTGAACCCTCACCATGTTCTGGAATCTTATCCCTCACCGTGTTCAGGTAGCTCAGCCCTCACCATGTCAGGAAGCACATGGGTGCTGTACCTCCTCGCTAGGTAGCCTCTGGCCACGCTCTGGAAGCGGATGATGGTGTCCGTGATCTTCAGATCCCGCTCTTCCTCTAGGTGGGCCAGAACCCCAGCTCTGAAGAACACCTTGCTCTGACCCACCCTGAAAAGGTTCTGGTCCAGTTCCAGGGCACTGATCTGGAAATGGAGACTTACACTGAGAGCCCTGAGCACTCAATCCTCAATGGGGGCACTAGGAGAGATATTCTGGAAACCATAAGGAAATCAGGGATGGAGAGTCTCACCATGAGCTCACAGGCCTGCTTGCCGTCCATGAAGGTGCGCGGGATGGCGTTGGGGGTCAGGATCTCATACCTGAAGAAAGGGGGGTCAGTGTATGAGGGTCACACGGGTGGTCATGACGAGTGCAAGGAAAGCTCACGCACCTCTGCCTGAATTCCTGGAATGGGATGCGGTTCGGAAAACCCTGTCTGCAAATGCGGATGCCCTCCAGGACCCCATTACATCGGAGCTGATCCAGAACCAGGTGGGGGGTCAGCTTTCCCGCCTGAGCCCACAAGGACAGAAACACATATGAAGACACGCTGAGTTCAGCCATGGACAGGACAGGTGTTCACTGCCCATCCGGATCTTCTCTCATCACGCCAATGTCTCCCTAATTCGTCACTACATCCGCATCTCCCCCAGCAGCACCCCCCGCCTCGTTCCGCCTACCCTCTTCTCGTGGTTGGGGATGATGCAGCGCAGGAAGTTGGGGTTGGTGTTCCTCAGTGTTGCCATCAGCTTGGTCAGCGACTCCTTATAGAGCTGCCCCACTGTCCTAAACATGCCCTTCTTGGTCTTCAAGCCTGCTGCTCCAAAGGCTACCGCCCCGGCCCCTTCGCCCAGACCCCCGGATGAGACCTGGTCCAGGCCCACAATCCTCTCCACTGCTCCACCAGAAGGGTTGGGGTGGGTGGATGGGTGGGATATAGATAGTATGACAATAAAAGAAGGCTAGAGTGGCATTAAGGATTCCACAAAGATACAACACAGCCAAGTACAAACAGATTTAAGCTGAGATTTGACAATTGTAATTACAGGTGGAACAGGACATCTCTGATTTACTGTCCAACACACCCAGAGTAGTACTGCTGTACAATAAATGTTACAAATTAACAAATCACATCTACTCTTGGTTTTCAATAGCTTTAAAATATCTATACAAAATGTATAGATAAGCAATGTACAAATCGACTAAGTTCAGACCAGGGGATAAGGTTATAGGACTTATGGGGAGAGATGGAAGGATGGAGGGAGTAAGGAAGAGGAAGACACCTACTGTCAGAGCCATTGGTCTGAAGAGTGGCGTAGGAGTCGAAAAAGTAAACACGAGGAAGAGTCTGAATATCTGAGGAAGAGGAGAGCGAATGACACACGGAGTGGGGGGAAGCGGGGAATCAGGGTGTTAAGCACAGATGGGAGGACAGGATGAGGACAAACAGAGAGAGAACAGCAACACAGCTGTTAGCGGTTTATTAAACAGCCGGGCATTAGTACAAATAATAAAGCCATAAGTGAGAAGTTAGCTGAATCCCCCTAATTTAACTGCAGACATTCTAAACTTAAGCTTCTGTAAAAATGACCTGAATTTAGCTCAAGTTCATTAATCACTTTAATCCCCCTTTAATGTTTAGAAAAATGTTCTAATGGGTCATGATTATCAACCTGTACTTTGGATTATGAACGTAATCTGACTGAAATAACATTCCTTTCTCACACACTTAAGGTCCAGCACCTTCCCAACACATCACGTCCAGAGCTGAGGTCCAGCGCCTTCCCAACACATCACGTCCAGAGCTGAGGTCCAGCACCCGCCCAACACACCACGTCCAGAGCTGAGGTCCAGCACCCGCCCAACACACAACCTCCAGAGCTGAGGTCCAGCACCCGCCCAACACATAACCTCCAGAACTGAGGCCCAGCACCCGCCCAACACACAACCTCCAGAGCTGAGGTTCAGCACCCGCCCAACATACAACCTCCAGAGCTGAGGTCCAGGACCTTCCCAACACACAACCTCCAGAGCTGAGGTCCAGCACCCTCCTAACACACAATATCCAGAGCTGAGGTCCAGCGCCCTCCTCCTAACACACATTATACAGTACTGAGTTCCAGCACCTTCTTCCCAACAACCTCCAGAGCTGAGGTCAAGAACCCTTCCAACACACACTGTCCAGAGCTGAAGTCCAGCACCCTCCCAATACACAACGTTCAGAGCTAAGGTCCCACCTTCACGCCACAGCTCAGAGATGAAGTGATCAGAGGACTGATGAAGAAGTGAAGCTACATTGTCATTCAAAGGGTCCATGTTCTTCACAAGCCACTCATCTGCTTTGTAGTCCACCTGCCACATAAGGAAATGGGGTAAAAACCACAGTTAAGCTAAAAGCAGTCAATCCAGGGTTTGCCACTCAGGGAGGGACCAGGAAGATACGCACCCTCCCAGCATAGTGGATGATGGAGAAGTCAGCTTCCTGTCTCAGCTGCCGGGGCCGGTGGAACTTGGGGTGTGAGCCCTGCTCCCCGGACAGCTTGTCCACAAAGGAGCGGTCCGTGGCCCGCGGGAACCAACACTCCTCGTCCAGCAGAGCCAACACCCCTGGTGGGTGAGCCTGGCAAGGGACAAATACAGCTTAGCACAATAGGGGACCTGGGGGAAGGAGCGCTACAGGACTGAAGGAATACCGAGACTAAATGTCATACCTAAACAGCACACGTTCTGAGGTTCCCCTCTGGGATTAATCAAGTTTGCCTATCTATCCATCTATGTGTCCATCCATTCATCCATCCATGCATCAGATTTCCATCTATCTATCTATCTATCCATCCATCTAGATAATATCCATATTTCCATCCATTCATATATCCATCTATCATCCATCCTTCCATTTATCTATCCATTCATCATTGGATCTATTCATCCATCTTTGCATCTTTCCATCCATCCATATATCATCTTTCCATCCATTCATCCACTTATCCATCTATCTATCCATCTTTTTGTCTTTTGATCTATCCATCAATCACTCCATTCATCCATCCATCCATCATCCACCCATCCATCCACCAACATACAGGCCGTTCTATGAGGTCAATGCAGGGCTGTAGGTCCAAGCCAAAGTCGATGAAGTTCCACTCGATGCCCTCCCTCTGGTACTCCTCCTGCTCCAGCACGAACATGGTGTGGTTGAAGAGCTGCTGGAGCTTCTCGTTGGTGTAGTTTATGCACAGCTGCTCGAACGAATTCAGCTGCATGAGAGAGACCCATTGTTAGGGGAGGCTCTTTCTCACATGTCCCCATTATAGCAAGGCAAGAACATGGACACCTTACAAGAAGAACATGGGGTCCTGCCCAGTATACTTTACTTTCATCTTCCGGCACCTATACCGAACATCTCCATCTTCAGTATTCTCAAGCACCAAATCCGACAGGTTACTCCATGTTCTACTTAATAATCACTCACGAAACATTACCAGCTATCAGCGTAAAATGAACTTTCTGAGCACGGTTACCTGTGGCCCTTTGATCCATCTGCTAAGAACAAAATACCCATAATCCATTAGGGCAGGTGCTGCCATTTGGGATTGTAAATGATGTGTAGCGCTTTTGAAAAGGAAATCTCCTCTAAGCCTGAAGGTTACTGGTTACATCCTGAAGCAGAAAGCAACTGCATCGCGTTTTCCCAAACCTTTTCAAGTGGCTCTGTTCTTTTTTTAATGAACACCTGCTTTTGTGCTCCTCGGTACACCTGATAACGCACATTGTTACCCACTCAGAGTTGCTGGGCGTTCCTGTCCGCGCCCGAGCCAGCTATTTTGAAAGCACTGCATGCTGGGGGGTGGGGGGCGACCTGGCTGCCAGGGAGGCGTACGGAACAGTACTAATGCACTGGCTAACAGGCTTGGTACTCCCTGTGTAAGCTTATCACTGGGCTGAGGCTGATGGTCTGGCTGCTCAAGTTCTGTGGTTATTATACTCCTGACTGGGAACACACCCTTTGTACCGCAGTTTCAATGGTATTTCCACAAGGTCACTTTTCAGGTCTTCCTTCACCCCTTCACATCTCTCTCGCTTTGTCTCCTCCACTTGTCCCACGCCCCCACCCACCTGAAAGATCTCGAACCCAGCGATGTCCAGGATACCGATGAAGGAGGCTCCCTGCCTCTGCCGGCGGTCCAGGGCCCGGTTGATCCGGTGGACCAGCCAGCGGAAGAGGCGCTCATATGTAGCTTTGGCCAGAGCCTCCACGGCAAAATCGGCCTGGGGGGAGAGGAGGTGGGATCGTGGACGGATCGTATGTGGGAGCAGAAGGAGGATAAGAATGAGGAGAACAGGGTAGAAGGGAGGTGACAGGGGAGAACATTAAGGATCTCAACTCTAACACTAATCAGAGTCTGTTTATCTCTGTAAAACTGCACATACACAGAGGGAAGCCTCAAAAGGTGGCACTGTCTTCTCGAGCCTCCAGGGTCAGAGGACGAAATCCTACCCCTGCTCCATGTATGTTTACATGTTGTCCCTGTGTCACATGGTGTGTGTGAGTGTGTGTCGTGTGACAGAATGGGACTCAAGCCTGGATGGACCCCAACCTTGCACCCTGCGCTGTCAGGGATGGGCTCCAGGCCATAGTCCACCCCCCCCCCCCCCTCGCCCCAAGTAGGACGATCGCTTTGGGCACGGCTGGCTGCCCACCTGCTCCTTGGTCTGCGCCTTCTGCACGTACTCCCTGCCCACTTTGATGCGGGGCGTGAGGATGGCGCGTGTGAACTCCAGCACGCTGATGCCCAGCAGGTGGCACAGCTTCTGGGCCGCCGTGTCGTCCGGCATGGAGGCCTGGTCTGAGTTCTTCTCCTTGTGGAAGGAGACGTTTCCGAACTGCAGCACAGCCGAGATCACCTTCATCATGGCTAGAGAGTGAGAGGATGGAGAAAAGGGGTGAGAAGGAGTAGGGTGAGTTGCGACCACTGAGCAGGGGAGGTGATGGAACCACGTCTCCCCATCCAGCCTCCTCACCCAGCGCCTCCTCCTTGGTGAAGCCCATGATGGTCATGGAATCCATCGTCTGTGTGAAGTTCTCGGCGTCGCTCTGCCCCGGCACCGGGATTGAGCCACCGCTCAGGAAGCGGTACTGATCAGCACCGGCCAGGAGCAGGTCCGCTGTGAAAAGAGTGAGCACATAGCGTCAGAGCCCCACGGCAGACCTGCTCACCCGGCTCACTATTACATACATACATACAAACATACATACAAACATACATACAAACATACATACATACATACAAACATACATATGCCCAGTCATCCATCCGTTTATCCATCCATCTGGCTAGTCATCCGTCCATTTATCCATACCATCCATCCATCCATCCACCCATGCATTTATCCATCCATCCATCCATGCATTTATCCATCCATCCATAACCACTCATCTAGAACAGTATCACACTGACCCAGGGGGCACAGCACAGGGTTCACTCAGGATTAGGACTCTGTGCCCATGATAGGAAAGTCACTGGTTCAAACCCTGTGCTCAGAAGAGTGATGCCACCACTGGGCCCTTGATCAAGGCCCTTAATTCCCAAATGCTTCAGACACTGGCTGACCCTGTTTTCTCAGTTACACGTTGCTTTGGGTAAATGCATCTGCTAAAGAAATAAATGCATCGTAGGGGTTCATACACTAAAGTTTGCTTAGAGATGCCACCTAACCACATGTCTTTGAGAGTCAGAAGACCCTGGAGAAAGCCAGTTGAATCCCTTCCCTGATGTGACATTTGCAGTTCCTACAGATACCTTCCAGCTAAGTGCCACTTTACACCGTGAGGTTAATCAAGTTTGAACGGTCAGCAGAACTTCGAGAAACCTGTAAGAGGCCCTGACAGTGATTTCTGAGATTCTGACCGAAGACTGTGGTCATGTTCCGAGCATATGGTCAGAAGGACCAGTAGGCCTCATCTGGGTCACTCCTGCATTAGACTGAAGCTGAAGTGACCTACACGGGTGACCTTCACAGATGACCTTCACGGGTGACCTTCACAGAGGACCTTCACGGGTGACCTTCACAGAGGACCTTCACGGGTGAAGGTTACTGACAGACAGGCACTGACAGTACCTGAATAATGAATCCCTCCTTTAATCTCATTCATGCGATAAACAGGACAGTATCAGGACATGTGCTCACACTCACTGTCTCAGGTCCCTAACCCAGGCATGACTGAACCTCTTAGCAAGCGGCAAATGACACTAACATGGAGATATCTGTGCCCCAGACGGGCATCTCCACACGTAACAGGCTGTACCTCGGTAACCCAGGTAGTGATGGACACCGCATCCAACTAGAATGGGGGGGGTACACAGGGGCGAGGGTAGGGGAGCTCACCTCTCATGCTCTCAGAGGCGCCACAGAGGAGCTGGTAGAAGATGTGGAAGGTCCTCTCGTCCTTGGCCTGCCGGATGGCGCGGGACTTCTCCAGGAGATCTGATGGAGGGATTTAAGGAGAAGCCCGAGGCCAGCTGGCAGGATGGAGTTACTGCTGTGGTGTGTACTGAGTACGGCCCTCGGAATCTCCACACGACGGGCGCTGACCGCTGTCGCTCAATCTAACACTGCACTACTAGTACAGTCACTACTAGTCAGCTACTATAAAGTCTTCTGCTGATATTTAACTAGACAGAATTGCTATACTGCTGGGTCTTAAGGGCAGTGTGGTGGCGCTGCTGCCTCACAGCAAGGAGGTCCTGGGTTCAGTCCCCCTGCCACCTTTCTGTGTGGAGTTTGCATGCTCTCCCCGTGTTTGCATGGGTTTCCTCCCACAGTCCAAAAGCGTACAGGGGAGGTTGATTGGCGACTCTAAGTTGACCCTGTAATTGTGTGAGTGTGTTGGCAACTGCCCAGGGTTGGTTTCTGCCTGTGCCCATTGTTCCCAAGATAGGCTCCTGTCCCCCCCCACAACCCCGGTTGGGATTAAGTGGTTACAGTGATGGATGGATGGATGGGTCTCTTAAAATGCCAAGTCATTAGATGTAAATGCTGAAGATAAAAATGCAAGATACAGGTCTCGATATTGGCTCCGACGATGTACCCCGCCACGTCAAAATTGATGCGGATAAATTTACCCTGGAATGAAGGTTACATAGGGATTTTACATTCAAAATACATTCAAATCCCATTTTAAAAGGTTATAATTTAAAAAGGTCTCAAAAATCAAAGACATACAAATCGAGAAGAATTGTCATTCTTGACGGTCTTAGCGTTGCCAAAAGCCTCCAGGATGGGATTGGCCTGTAGAAGCTGCCTCTCCAGCTCCCCCTGGTGGACGTGCAAAGCTCAGTGTCATGGGGGAACATCGCAGACAGGAGCCAGATAGTGACTTAGTGGTTCTCAAACGTTTTTACCATGTAGAGGGGCCCCAGTAACAAAAAGATGCACAAATTAAATTAAAATGATCCATTAAGAAATGGTTCTGAATTCTCATGAAATTACATTAAATAAATATTCTATCATGTCATTGTAAAATGCCAAAAGTAAAACGATGGATGGCTGACGGAATAATGTAGAATAATGAAGCAGAACTCCTATTGTATCGTTTCAAGTTTTTCCAGTCATCTGGGATCGTTTATCTGGGATCGATTCGCATTCCTCTCGGTCAGGGAAACAACCACTAACAGGTTGGGACCCATGGTTTGAAAACCACTGCACAGCTCAGAATAAGGGGCTCAGCGGGCAAACAAGGAAGCCTCATACAACACGACAGCAGCTTGCACAGGGGCAGAAAGGGCCACAGGGCAGCGCAGACGTGCACACGTGTTCTCTGGGGACAGCGACTAGCTGTACGATCGCCATAGCGGTTAGCCCTAGCGAACCCGCGGCTAACAGGCATAGCTAGCAGAGCAAAGCACACACAGCATCTATGCGTATCTACTGACAGAAACAACAGAAACGCTAACAGGGCACAAGGAGCAGCACTGAGACACCATCTCCACACAAAGGCAAGTTTACAAACATGTACTCACATACTGTTCGCTCTGAGTTAGGGAGGGGTGGCGGGGGCCAGGCAGACGCGAGACACAAAAAAAAACAATAGAAAAAAAAATAACATACAGATGGACACATGAGAGCAATGAACAAACACAACGGACAAGGCAATTAGAGAACATCTGGTTCCCCTCGATCAGAGCTCACTCTCTGCTGCTCACTGGACCCAGAAACCATCATCATCATCATCATCATCATCATCATCATCATTATGGGTGAAGGTCATTCCACACCCGGCGTCCATCTTGAATTGAATTACAAGCAGGACCCTCCGTTACGTAAACAGCCTTCTCAGATGCGTCTAATGGTGAGTCACAGGCCCGGTGTGCTACACGCGGGCTGATTCATTATTCAGCAGGCCGTGGATATACGGCACAGGTGAGTGGGCCATACTATCACCACCCCAAGAAACCGGGGCCTCTAATTGGTTCAGGGCCCAGTGACGGTTGCCACGGAGTCTTGGATATGACGCCTTATAAACGGAGGGGAAAGAAGAGGGTGGGGTTGGCGTTTGTCGTGAAAAGCCCCCCAGATGTGATGGACGCCTCCCACTCACCCTGCCGAGCATTGCAGTGGCCCTCTGGGCAGCTTTGGAGCTATCCGTCTTAGTGAGAGGGAGAGAGCGAGGGAGCGGGGAGAGGGCCCATGTTAGGAAGCGGCGGGCCAGAACCGTCCACACACAGACAGGCCGTCGGAAGGCCCGTAGGCTCCAAACCCATCCCCGACCCAGAAATACCGTGTCCTTGCTTCTGCCAAGCGTGCCCGTCTTGTGCGATGACGCCACATGAGCCAAGTACTGGATCACCTTCTTTGTGTTCTCCGTCTTCCCGGCTCCCGACTCACCCCTGAGAAGAGCAGAAGGGAGAGACGTGGGCATGGATCTGGGGCTGGACCCGGGGCCCATTGACATGCCAGAGTGCATCAACACACCGAAGAGCGTGAGCGATCACAGCTGACGGGAGGCAGTACTCACGTGCACAGTATGGACTGATCTTCTCTATCTGCAGTGAGAAGAGGGATAAACAGGAAATGAGATAGTCAGGAAATCACTCTGAGACGGCACTTACAAAGACACCATTACGGGCAGGTAATGCGAGCCACCCTGTTGCTGTTTAGCGTCCAGAGGCGAGTATGTAACACAGTGTAACCTACATTCAGAACAATGCCAAGCCATTAGCCTCATTATGACACTCAAGTGCCTTAATTCACATGCGCGACACAGAGACACCTTCCAATTGCCCTGACGCACGGCGGTATGCATCTCGCGGCACAACAATTCACTAAACCAGAGGCTTCTCACCAGTCCAGTCACCAGAGGGATGCCCAACTCTATCCCAAATCCTAACCCTAACCATAACCCTTTCAGAAATGTGCCCCCACCCCCTTTTAGGAAGTTTATTTTAGACAACTACTCTTACTAGTAGGAATGGGTGCTAATAAAGGTCGTTGACCGATTAGGCTTTTATAACTCTGCCAGCAGCATAAATTTGGCTGCCCCCTAACAAAGGAGAAGGCAAAGGCCGCTCTCAACCGCTGCACGCTTTCTGAAGAAAATCGCTTCACTTCAGTATGACGTACAGCCGACTTTACAAAGAGATGCAAAGCTGCTGGCGTATCAGCAAAGAGCAGATAGAGGGCGCTACCACCGCGAAGGTAGAGAGCGAGCCACCCTGCCTTTCCAGAGCTACCTCTCTGCATTCTGTTTAGATGAGCATGTCCGTGGCGGACACCTCAGAATTTCGTCGACATTTCCCACAATACCTTGCAGCATGCTTCGGTACGCAGCCTCAGAGATGGCATAAATGTGCGGGGGCATTTCGTGGCGCTTCTTGCCCCGGTACATCTCTACGATGGACTCGGTGTAGATGGGTAGGTTCTTGTATGGGTTGATGACCACACAGAAGAGTCCCGAGTAGGTCTGCAGTAACACCAAGGAAGATGGACTCGCAACCTCAGTACTAATCAGCAGGGGGCAGAGTGGTTAAGGACATCAGTGGTGGTCACACCTTGCATTGACAGGTACGGAGATTCCCCCACTGCACTGTCACTACTCTGTACATGGTATAAGCAGGTCACATGGTGTAAGCAGCCCCAGGGTATTTCCTCCCAGCACAGAGTTACTCACATAGATGAGGCCGGAGTAGTATCTCTCCCTCAGATTGTGTAGCACGGAGGCCTCGTTCAGGCAGGTGAGGTCAGCCATGTCCTCCACCTTGCTGAAGCGTGGCGGGTTCATGCGCTGCACCTCCTCACGGGACAGCGTCACCCGCCGGCCACTGTCCGTCAGCTCCACTTCCACCTCATCCCCGCGCTCCTCCCGCACGCTGGCCGCCTGTCAGGTCAGGGGGTGACACATCACAGCGTGACAGAGACACGCGAACGCTACGCACACACATGGCCAGAAATGCCGGCACAATCTGACCACTAATGGCACAGATCTAGAGAAATAAGCAAAGCAGGAAGGAGCCTGTCGTTACATCTGAGGCCCTGCGTTGGCACTGTCTGGCCGTCCGGTGTGACTAACAGAATAAATAAGGAAAGCAGCTGGAAGGGATGCTCAGTGTCAATCCCTCAGAAATGTGTCCACGATTTAAACTGACAGAACACATGTTCAAAGACTTCTGCTCCACCACACGCCGCAGACACGTGCTGTGTGAGCTGGAGGCCACGCCCCCTTCCCATTGGCCAGGCGTAATCTGCAAGACACTGCATACATTGTCAGAGGGGTGACAGACAGACTGCATGTAGCGGAGGGTGACAGGGCCGCTCCGTACAGCAGGCCTGATCTTCCCGCAGCAGGAGGTGGGAAGCCTGCACAGACCTGGCCTACATTTACCCCGCTGTTTGAAGGCAGCTGGTTTCACGTTGGCAGAACTTGACATGGTGCAGTATCTAATGCCGCCAGGTTTAGTGGCAGTGTGCACACGGTACTGCAGGACAGCGGTCAGGGGACACAGAGATGCTGAGCGCCAGCCGAACTGCTACGGCTCTCACCTCAAAGCCGTGCTTCTCCGAGGGAACCCACACCAGCCTCTTAGCTGCCCAGTCAGCCTGGCTTGAAGCGGAGAAAACTGAGGTAGGGGATGCAGGCCCCGCCCCCATGGACAGGAAGTGCGTGACATCGTTGGTGGCGACCCCTGCTGTCTTGGCAGACATAGTGCAGGACCTGGTACTGACCAAAAGAAACAGAAACATTTCTGATGCGGTTCTGCAAAATGTGGAGGGTGTAATCCCAGCAAAATGGCAGATTTTATCAGCTGTTCCTGTGTTCACCCAGATGGCACTCCATTTAAAACACCCTGTGCATCTTTTACAAAAAGAATAATGTGTACAGTGACTGTTGAATATCAATTATCACACCATTTATCCTACATGTAGCAAATCCAGTTTCAGCATCTAACACATATGTTGATCACGGCTTAAATAAAACGCTGCAATTAGCAGCCTGTCACTGTACCGCTGAGGTCTGAAGGTTGCTGTACATAATCAGCAAATTATTATTTTTCAGTTTGTTATTTTCATCACTGTCTACATCTGAATTGTTTCCTCTAACAGCCTGGCTGTGTTTAATCCACAGGTTTCTGATCATTCACTGCAAAGACTGTCAGACAAACCAGCAGGGATGTCCCAGTGACCAAACTGTGGGACTCCAAGAGGGTGTGATGTAACAAAATTGCCACTAATAGTTACACAATTACAGTAAAAGAGTATCAACTGGAATAACATGCCACTGTTATGTCAGTAATAAAAGTAGGCAGTCTGGGAACCGTAAGATATAGAATAGCAACCTATAAATGAGAATAAACTATATTACTGTGAGAATAAAAGATGCCCTAATTAAACAGAAGAATGTAATAATCCCTAATGGACAATGGGGATATGGTTTGAGCCAACACTCTGAGTAAACGGACAGTTATTAATTAATTCGAATCAAATTGAGCGAAACAGATGAAGTCCACATGATCGTAAAAGCTTCAAAATCAAAATTCGGCAAAAACGAAACCCTCCCTGAACACTGATTAAAACCCAAACAGGGTATGGTGTATGGTGCAACACGGGGACACGCCGTGGCATATTTTATTTTTTTCCATTCCTGTTACAGTCACAGTTACACCCATATGTTTAACTCGAGCACTCTCTTCCAAATGTGCATTTATCAGCCCCGCCGTAGGGGCAGGTTACCGAACCCTTCAGAAGGACTATGCGTTTTTTTCAGGCAATTCTCTGGAGATAATCAATACATCAAAAAAGGTTTCTAATCATATAGTTTTCCAGCCCGGCGTCTTCACACAAAAGCAATGCGCCGAAATCCTCCCCCATTCCCTTTCCTTAAAACGGGGCTGAGCTGAGATCCCGCAGTGACATTAATTCAGTCACCGCCGCTCCGGGTGTCGAGTCATTTTTACTACTGAATACCGCAGGAAAAGCACCAGTGCAGCACCCTTTGGTATATTTCGTGTTGAGATGGAGGTCATTTCGCCATAATGCACATAATTAGTATTACAGCCCGCAATGCACGCTGCCAAACGCGACTGCACACGCGGTTTACGAGCCTGTAAAGAAGGATGCACCACCGCCTCCCGTGCAAAATGGATCGGTCTTTACAGCAATAAGACGCACTCGTCCATGCATCCTTCATGTCCTGCTGCGGGACTTCGGATTTCGTTGCGGGGCCGACACCTCCCTTTTAGGACAGCGTCCATTCCCACGACGACACCCCCCTAATAGCGATCACACTGCAGCAATAATGTAGACAATGATCGCAAGTTTGTGCAAGGGAGAGCTCTAATGCACAACTGGTGCTGATGGTATCCTATTGGACGTCTCTACATGCTTCGGCTCCGGATGAAAGCGCCGGGAGAGACGCCACATCCAGAGGTTTAGCAATGACATTGTAGCGAACCGAAGCCGGGCTGTAGGTTCTGCTGTATGCGGCTATAGGGCCCGGGAGTCGAAGCTGGAGCGGCTACCATGATGAACGACCTACAGCAGTCTCCGACAAAGACTGCCAACCACACCTACACCTCCAACATGCACATCACGGGAAATTCACAGAATCTACTGTCTGTCCCTTATTGCTTAATGTGACATTGATTCAAAGATTACCCACCCGCTTATCTGTCTGTTAATCTGAAAATAGGGTAATTACATTAATATTAAATACAGGCATAGTGTCATATAGCTGGTGTAGTTCACAATACCAGGGCAATGTGATTTAATGCAAACATATACATTTACTGTTTGAAAATAATTATTTTTATCATTCAATGCTGAAATTATATGAAGAAAGCAAGACTAAAATAGCCTGTGATACATACTTAAATCATAAGGTATATTATAGGGTAACAGTAATTTCTATTCTTGGCAGTGCGTTTATCAAATACTTTCCTGCATACACCGCTGTATAAATATCTCAATAGCTGATAACTAAGGTACGTAACTCTTAAACAGGTCAATTTCTTAATCGTTTCCCGTCTGTTCTGTACCGTTTTTCGCCGTTATGCCGCCCGCATTTTAGATTACAGTAGCGAGTTGCTAACCCAATGAAATAAGATACGCGACAGCGCAAAATAATCCGTTAATATTAATGACCCCACGAGAAAAAAGGAAACCTCTCACCTCTAAAATCCTGTCCAAAATATGAAATTCGCCTGACTGTGATACTTCAGGATGCTGTGTTCCCCCCTGCTTCCGTTCGGTACAAACTGCAAGAAACACAACGCAAATGCAGCGTTTATCATTACACAGCCCAGGCGAAGCCCCACACACATACATGCAACACAGAGAATAAAATAGGCAGAAATGTAGGGGCAGAGATACAACTTCACTGGAAATCACCCTTCCTCCGTATAAACCAATCAAATGTGACTATAGAACCCCAAGACCCGCCTTAAGCATGAAAGCCCCAATAAACACAAGGCGCAGATTCAAACACCCACCCTTCAAAGGATGCAGTCCGTCCCCGCCCGCTTGATGGCACCGCTTAACGAAATGACAAATAGCAGGCAATTGCGCGGAACAGTCACACAGGATCACCAATGAAAAAGAAGATCCAGCGATCGTTGCAGTGATTGACATAAGAACTGACCAAAAAGAGACGAGGAGCAGGTGCCAGTGCCGAAACCTCGCCTTGTGGTAGTGATTTGCGCGCTCTTTGTTGATGCTACTGTTGTGCTGTCTGTCGCGCAGTCTGTCTGATCACAACGCAAGACCCGGGTCCTTTAAAGACACAGCTGCTTTACAGCCTGGCAATTATGTCCTTCATTGCAATCTAACACTGTAATAATAATAATAATAATCTTTGTCATATTACAGAAATAGTACTGCAATTATTGATTTTTACATTAATTTCTAAAACTATTGGTATATTTAAAGTAAATAGTTGCTTCACTGTAATTCCTAAAATGATAGGTATAGGTGATAACACAATGCATTCATGTATATTTCATCTGAGTCATCTTTTTACAGTAGAGTTTTAAAAGCCAGATGTGTTTCCTTAGTGATTTAGTCTAATCACCACAATGAGGAGTCCCTCCATTGTTTGTCCGTCACATAACGCATATGTCTAGGATATGCCTGATTGACACTGTGCATGGCAGGTGACATTCTTCTGCATGTTGGTTTGCATATGTGACAATGGACAGAAAGAGGTGCACAAGCTCAAACTATAAACAAGTTTTATTTGCTTTGGAATAGTCAGCTTTTTTAAATCCACATACAAGTATTTATCCATTTACTTCCTTTTATAGCCATAATAACAGGACAATCAAGTCAATCTGATGATGCATAAAGCAGAGAGCCGTCAACTCTTATTCAGAAAACAAATTAGGATAAAATGACCAACTTAATATGTTAAGTGTTAAAGATCCGGGCAGATTTGGGGCGATGGCGAGGTATGGTGCAGGTAGGTAGGAAGGAGGTGGACGAACCACTGGCAACTCAAAGGAGAAATAGGGTTTATTAACTGAACTAAAAAAAAAAAAATCATAAGAAATACTTATAAAACAAAGGACCACGAGGGGTCAAACTTAAATGGGGACAAACAAAGACTAATTACAAAATGGGGCAGGTAAGCATATTCAACATACAATCTTCACGAACAATCAACAAACCACTAGCAAACTAAACAGAGGCAGGGACTTAAATACAGAGGGGTAACAAGACTAACAAGGGGCAGGTGGGATTAATCAATAAGGCTGGGAAAACAGGTCACAGGTGAAACTAATAATTAACTCAAGGAACTAAACTTAAGAACTAACCAAGAAATAGGGAAAACAGAATCTAACACTGGGGGAATAATAGGTAGAAACACAGGCACGGGCACAAAGAACACAGGAACTAGAAAAACTCATACAAATGAAACACTAGGGAACAAAATACAAAAACAGAAGGGGCAAGATTCAAACACATGACGGAGAAGTTCACAAACAACCACATGCTCAACAAGATGAGCTATGCAGCCAACAGGAAGGTGGGAAAACACAAAGACTGACAACATGAGGGACGGGATGACCAGCAACACCTGCTGGCCGAATGGGGTAGGGACACAGAATGGGACCACAGGAGCTGACCCTGACAGTTAAGTACAGTAGCAAGTAAACAAAAAGACTTAAAATAAAATAATCTTTAATGTTTAATAGTTACAAGGTGGCAGGGAGCTTGGTGCCAAATCTAGGATGCATGGGGCACAAGCAAGGGGACACCATGGATGGGATGTCAGTCTATCACAGGGCATGAGGAAGGGGACACCATGGATGGGATGTCAGTCTATCACAGGGCATGAGGAAGGGGACACCATGGATG